TGAACTCACAGAGATCCTCCTGCCTCTGCCTCCTGAGTGCTGGGATCAAAACATTTTTTTAAAGAAAATTTCAGTCTGATTGGGCCTGGTGGCACACACCTTTAATCCCAGCACTTGGGAGCCTCAGGCAGGCAGATCTCTGTGAATTCAAGGCCAGCCTGGTCTACATAGTGAGTTCCAGGCCAGCTGGGGCTACAGGGAAACCCTGTCTCAAAAAGACCAAAAATTAAAAAAAAAATTTTAAGTAAAAAAAAATTGGTCTGGAGAGGTGGCTTATCTGTTAAGAGCACTTGGTGCTCTTGCAGAGGATCCAGGTTCAATTCCCAGCAGCCACATCAGGTGGCTCACAACTGCCTGTAACCCCAGTTCTAGGGGAATCTGACACCCTCTTCTGGCCTCTGAAGACACTGCAGTTACATGTAAGCAGGCACACACACATAAAAGTAAATTTTTTAAAATTTAAGTATATATTTTATTTCTGTGTATGTGTGTGCATTTGTATGCATGCTGTGTGGGGGGTGTTGAGGAGGCCAGAATCTATATTGGATCCTCTTGAATTGGAGTTACAGCGAGTTGGTGAACTGCTGGGTGCTGGGAACAGAACTCTGCTCCTCCGGCAGAGCAGCAACTGCTCTTAACTGCTGAGCCATCTCTCCAGCCACAACTTCTTTTCTTTATAACTTATACCTTCTATGCTATTATGTTATTAACAACAGAAAATGGGCAGATATACAAAGTAGTGAATGCAGGGGGGAGGGGCATCAAGATGATTCATCAGATAAAGGCACTTGCTGCCAAGCTTGATGACCTAAGTAGATCAATCCCTCAGGACCAGAGAAATCCCCAGGACCAATATGGTAGAAAGAAAGAACCAACTCCTGCAAGCTATCCTCTTACCTCCACGTGTCCTCTGGCACATGTGCCCACACGCATACACATACCCACAAAGTAATAATAAATGGAAAAAAAGAGTGCAACGCTAAGGACATGGCTTCTAATAAAGTGCCCTAGTAAGCAGCTGCTTTAACCCATGGTCAGATTTAGCATCAGTAATTATGACAGTCTGACAGCATGTGTCTTGTGGTGGTCACATGAGGGATCTAGCATCACTTCTGAGGTGTTTTGCCAAAAATGTGGAACTGAACCTCATCAACTCTCCTTTGTTTGATATCACTTCTAATTTATAGGACAACCAATAACAGAAGGCCAAATCTAACAACACCCAAGAGAATCAGATAAACAAAATGTGGAGCAGGCTACAGAACAGCCTGCCAGTCTCCCAGAGACCCAGGCGACAGGAGAAAGCATGGGCTGTCCTAGATTAAAAGAGATAAAAGACGAAACCACTAGTACAGTTGCCTTGATTGCATACTGGTCCCCAAGCTCCCAAAGCAGACCAGCAATAAAAAACATTTGAGGGACTGGAGAGATGGCTCAGTGGTTAAGAGCACTGGCTGCTCTTGCATAGGACCAGTACTCACATAGCAGCTAACAACAGTCTGTAACTCCAGTTCCACGGGATCCTACGCCCTCTTCTGACCTCTGCAGGCATTGCACGACATGGGTGCACCTACCCACATTCAGGTAATACACTTATCCACATTAAAAAAAAAAAAAAAAAAAAGACATTTGGAGACAACAGGACATTTGAAAAAAGTAGGTGCAGAGCAGCCAAGCTAGATGACTGGCTCAGTCTCCAGACTTTAAAAAAAAATTTTATTTGTGGGCCTGGAGAGATGGCTCAGCAGTTAAGAGCACTGACTGTGCTTACAGAAGACCTGGGTTTGAATCCCAGGACCCACATGGAAGCTAACAACTGTCCGTAACTCCAATTCCAGGGGATCCAACAGCCTCTTCTGTCCTCCACGGGCATTGCACTACATGGGTGCACTTATCTACATGCAGGCAATACACGTATGCACATTAAATAAAATTTTTTTAAAAAAATTATTTGTTCTGAGACAGGGTCTCATCTAGCCCAGGCTGGCCTCAAACTCACTATATAGGTTCAAGGATGGCATTGAACTCCTGATCCTCCTGCCTCTGGCTCCCAAGCAATGGCACTTTTTTTTTTTTTTTTTTTTTTTTTTTTTTTTTGGCTTTTTGAGACAGGGTTTCCCTGTAGCCCCAGCTAGCCTGGAACTCACTACGTAGATCAGGCTGGGCTCCATCTCACAGAGCTCCACCTGACTCTGCCTCCTGAGTGCTAGGATTAAAGGCATGCGCTACCATGCCTGGCCACTTCCTTATTCATTCATTCTGCTTTTTCTTCCTGGATTATTTGTTTGCTTATTTGCTTGAGACATGGTCTCATTATTTAGTCCTGGCTGAACTGACTGACACTCACTACAGTAATGCTCCTGTCTCTGTTGACTAACTGCTGGAATTACAAGTGTGTATCACCACACCTGGCTGTATTTCTTCTTTACATTAAAAAAATTTATTTTGGGGGCTGGAGAGATGGCTCAGCAGTTAAGAGCACTGACTGCTCTTGCAGAGGACCCAGGTTTGATTCCCAGCACCCACATGGTGGCAACGAACCGTCTTTAACTCCAGTTCCAGGGGAATCCGAAGCCCTCTTCTGACCTCCTTGGCATTGCATGACATGGGTGCACTCACATACATGCAGGCAATACACTCATACACATAAAATTAAAATAATAAATTTTTTAAATTTTATTTTATGTGTATGAGTGTTTTGCCTACATGTATGTACATGTATGCAGTGTCCACAGAGGCTAGAAGAGCATTAGATCCTCTGGAACTAGAGTTACAGTGAGCTGCCATGTGGCTTCTGACAGGTGCTCTTAACCACTGAGCCGTCTCTCCAGCCTCACCTTACCTTTATAGCTCAGTGGTAGCATACTTAGCATTCAGGACCCTGGATTCCCTTCATAACACCACATATACACAAACTGAACCCCAAATGCCAACATACTATTCTAAGATATGATCACTAACTTTTTTAAAAAATTTATTTTTTATTTTATATGTATGAGTGTATTGCCTGCATGTAGGTAAAGGCACCCATGTTGTGCAATGCCCGAGGAGGTCAGAAGAGGCTGTCAGATCCCGAGACTGGAGTTACGGACAGTTATTAGCTGCCATGTGGGTGCTGGGATTTGAACCCGGGTCTTCTGCAACAACAACCAAGGTTCTTAACTGCTGAGCCATCTCTCCAGCCCACGATCACTAACTTTAAGAAACATGAGGTCACTTAGGTTATATGATCAGCACCTGCCCTTCCTGTAGTAAACCTAGACAGATGGTGAATCCTACTTAGGAAGCAGTTAATTAAAGTGCCACAGGAAATTGCTCCCAGACTTGAAAAAAAATCATTATTTTCAAGTTTTGTTTGTACTGTTGTTTTGAAATAGGGTCTCATTCTGTAGCCCAGGCTAGCCTGGAACTCACTATGTAACCCAGGTTGGCCTTGAACTCAAAGTGATCCTCCTGTCTCAGGTTCTTGAATACTAGGTGGTAGGAGCCCTCATGCCCAGCTATGATGGTTAGTCTTTGTTGTCAACTAGACTGGCTTGAGAAAAGTCCAGGATATTCATAAGGACTTCTGGTGTCTCTGTGAGAGTGTTTCTAGAGCCAGTTAGACCATGAGAGCTTTCACCTAATGGATGGTTTCATCTGTTAGTGGATTCAAAATTCCTATATACTGGGAGCTGCTGAAACTGGAAAGTGGGGCTGATTAGAGGAAGTGGGTTTCTGGGGACAGGTCCTTGGGGCTATATCATCTTCTGGCTCTTCTCTGCCCCCTGTCTGCAGTGATGTGGGATTCTTTAGCACAGCCTCCCCACCACGATGTACTACCGCCTCTGAAGCAATGAGCACAAACTTCACTCACCTAGTTTTGTCAGAATGAGACAGGTAACTAAGAAACTAGATAATGAGCACTCCTAGGAACTGTTCAGATTTGAGAGAGGGGGAACAAATCTAATCTAATCTATATATAAAATACTGTGAATGCTGGGTATGGTGATGCATGCCTTTAATCCCAGCACTTGGGAGACAGAGGCAGGCAGATCTCTGTGAGTTTGAGGACAGCCTGGTCTACATACAGAGTTCCAGGCTAGCTGGGGCTAAAGGGAGACCTTGTCTCAAAAAAAAAAAAAAAAAAAAGGAAGAAAATAAAATATTGTATGATTAATTTTAAAAATCTTTCTCTTGCTATGTAACCCAGACTAGCCTGGCACTCACTATGTAGCTCAGACCAGTCTCCAACTCAAAATCCCCCTTCTGTTTCCTGAGTGCTGCCATTACAGACTTGTGCCAATATGCCCAGCAATAACTAAGAAAAATTTTAATTTACAAGCTGGCTGTGATAGCTCATGCCTATAATTTCAGTACTTGGGAGGCCTGAGGCAAGACAACTGTCATGAGTCCCAGGCCAGCCTAGGCTATGGAGTGAGACCCTGTCTCAAAAAACTAAATGACAAGACAAATAATGTTTTTGACTAATAAGTCCTATACTTATAAGTCCTATTCTGGGGCTGGAGAGATGGCTCAGAGGTTAAGAGCACCAGTAACTCTTGCAGAGGACCTGGGTTCAGTTCCCAGCATCCACATGGCAGCTAACAATGGTCTGTAACTCCAGTTCCAGAGGATCTTATCTGACACCTTCTGACCTCCGTGGGCATTGCACAACATAGGCACACTTAATACATGCAGGCAATACACTGATACATATAAAAATAAAAATTCTATGCTATACATAAGATCAAATCTATTTTTGGAGCAATAATATATATATTGAATAAAATAATAATAACCATAATCACTGACTTTTTTTTTTTTTGATACAGGATCTCACTATGTAGACTTGGCTGGCCTGGAACTCACTATGTAGACTAGGCTGACCTCAGACTCAGAGATCTGCATGTCTCAGCCTCTCAAGTGCTGGGATTGAAGGTGTGCGCCCCCCACACTTGATTTACTAGTTGACTCTTGATAGTTGATGCCGTTCTTCATGGAACCTGTATCAGCCTTATTAGGCATCGACAGTAGCTAAGGCTGTGTAGCCTTTACTCAGGCCGGACACCACTACAAAGCCCTCCATTCAGATCAACCCACTTAATTCTCGCACCCTTATGAAAGAGGAACTAGTTAACCTTCTTGCTTATAGATGAGGAAACTGAGGCGGGCCATCTAGAAGCTGGAAATATGCCAAGTCAGACAGCTTGCAGTTACTGAATAGGGACTTGAATCTGAGGAGGTCCCAGAGTTTCTGAAATATTCCCCATGCATGACAGAGACAGGCTGGAGGAGGGGAGGTAGCTGTGTTAAGACACCCTGGGGGGGCGGGGCAGGAAACCCGGGGGCCAGGAATCCAGGTCTTTGTAGAAGGAGGCCTCCAAAGATGGCGTGGACCCAGAGCCATGGAATTCAGCGAGAATTCACTTCACTTCTTGGTCCACAAATAGCCAGCCAAAAGGAGCCCATGCCTCCATACCCTGCTGGGGAGCCCAGTAACTGCTGATAGAATGCATGGCGCCGACCAATCAGAAAATGATAAGCTGTCTAAAAGGACTTGGGGGCGGAGAAAAGGGAGATATAAGGTGTGCCCCCTCCTGCATTAAATGGGCCTGCAGCACCTCGCCTAGTGCTTGCTTCTACCCTACTCCTGGGGTCTGTGTGTTGCGACTCCGTGCCTCTTACCCCTGCTAATTGGCAGGGGACCCGATCCAGGTTAGGGTCTTCACAGCGGGCCTGAGGAGAACCCGCAACAGGTCTTGATCTAAGTCTCCCTGAAAAGCCTATGGGAGGGAAGGAGCAGTTTACCTGTTTATAGATGAGCTCAAAGGCTCCTGTATCACAGCTGCGGTCCAGCCTCCTGTCTATAACCACACGCAAGGTGTCAGCTTGCACACCAGCACAGAGACGGGCAGTGACAGCTGTGGAGGGTGCCATGGTAGGGCTGGCATTGATCTCAATCAGCCATGGTCGGTAATCCTCCCCAAACACAAAGTCAGCACCATATAGCTCAAAGCTGGCTTTCCGGCACTGCACAGTGTCCTGGGAGGTCTGCAGGGCGTGGATCACAGCAGCCTTCATGCCAGGCACAATGACATTGGACCAGGCATTTGGGGCGCCCACCTCTTGCAAGTGGGCCTGGAACCTCTGACTGGACCACATGTTGTCCGGGGGCAGCATTGGGTGCCGGTGGCATGAGGTCTCCAGGTGTCTCTGGATGGAATTGTTGCACAGGTGCACTGAGCTGGATGGAGCAGAGAGATAGGCTCAGCCCTGGAGCCTCACACCCAACCTCAGGGGTGTAGACAAAGTCCTGGGATCAACCATCCTGGTGAGCCCAACAGAGATGAGGCTGTGCTAGGAAGGACCAATAGGACAGAAGCCCACCATATTCATGTGGGACAAATCATTTAACCTGTATGTGCCTCACGTCTGTAAAATGGAGCAATAACCACCCACTTCATTATACTTATGAGAAATACTAGATACTATGTGGAAGCATGCATAGCATATGTAGCTCTTAATAATAGATGGCTACAGTGGACTGCTGCTTCATCTTCAGATGTGCAAACTGAGGCTTGTTTTTTTCTTTGAAATGGGTCAAATGTAACCCAGCCTAGATTCAAACTCCATATACAGTTAAGGATGACCATGAACTCCTGATCTTCCTACCTTTCAAGTGCTGGGATTACAGGCAGACACGACTATATCCAGCTTTTTTTTTTTTTTTCGAGGTAGGGGGTCTCTGTAGCCCAGACTGGCCTAAATTCATGACAATCCTCCTGCCTCAGCCTCCCAAATTTAGGATTACAGGCATGAGTCACCATACTTGGCTTGTTATGTTTTGAAAAAGGGCCTCAACTATGTAGCCCAGGTTGTCCTCAAACTTGAAATTCTCCTAACTCAGTTTTCCAAGTGCTGGGATTATAGGTGTGTGCCATGGTGTCTTGCTAGAAATGGAGACATAAATGGGTTTTTATGTCTCCAGAGGTGCACAACTTAGATGCTGTGATGAAATTTGAACCCAGCCTCATCAAGGCTTCCTCTCATCCCAAGAGTTAATTCCACACACTGCCTCTCTCCTTTCTCTTGACCTGTCTTTACCCACATCTGCATTTTTTGCCATAATATGAATCACCTTTTATCCTGTTAGCCTATTTTCACTGATGTCCACTGCTAGAATGTGAACCCTTGAGAGTTAGGATTTTGATCACTGCTGTATTCCAGGAGCCCAGACTAGTCAAGAGTACAGGCATAGAGAAAGCACCTAAGAGTCTGCAATGGAGCCCAGCCTGGCTATAGGATCCCACTGTTCCTGTGTGTTTGTAAGTCCTCTCCGTCACCCCCTCCCCCATTAGACTGGGCACTCAGAGGAAGTATGTGTGGGGAGGGCTCACTTGTCCAGGTTCTTCAGGGAGAAGGGCTGTGTGGAAAAGCGGATGTAGCTGTCTCGGTAGAACCACACAGTAAGTGGGTTCCAGTCAGTCACCAAGAACCACTGTCTCAGGTCGAACTTGGTGCCGAAGATGAGCAGTGGTCGCTCAATGTACTTCTGCACCACCCACTTGCCGTCCTTCATCAGCACAGGGTTGCAGTCCACCAGCTTCAGCATCTCTTCCAGGTGGTCCATGCACACAATGCCTGAGGGAAAGAGGAGGGCATCAGGGACTGGGCGGTCAGGCTGGGGCTGGGTGAAGCTCAGGGAACCATGGGCAGCTGATTATAGGCTCTCATCCTCACAGAACCCACCAGGTGGTCAAGCTGCCCTCCTCAGGCAGAACCTTCTTCTCTTTGGCAAAGCTAAGAATTAAAAAAAAAAAAAGTATTATTTTTATCTTATTTTATGTGTATGAATATATTGCCTGCATGTATGTAAGTGCACCCCTGTCATGCAATGCCCGTGGGTCACAAGAGGGTATCAAATCCCCTGGAATTGGGTTACGGATGGTTGTTAGTCACCATGTAGGCCCTGGGAATTGAACCCAGGTCTTCTGTAAGAGCAGCCAGTGCTCTTAACCACTGAGCCATCTCTCCAGTCCCAGAATTTAAAATTTTCTAAATTAACTGATATTTAAGAGATTTTGTTTCACTAGAAACAGATAACAATTTAAATAGTTGACCATGTGCATGTATTATTTTTCTTTGATAATAACAGTATATGAAAAAATGAAAAACAAAAGGACATACAAAAATCTTCTTCTCCCTCATTGTATTATTAGCTACTTAAGGAATAAACTTCTAGCCCTAGGTTTACACATCCAAGGATATGTACATTTTGTCTTCTTTTTGTCTTTCTCATTTCCTTCCTTCCTTTTTCTTTTTTTTCTGTTTTTTGTTCTGATGCTTTTTTGAAAGTCTCATATAGCCCAGGCTGGCCTTGAACTTACTATGTAGCCAAGGCTAGCCTTGAACTCCAGACTCTCCTGCTTCTACCTGGGATTATAATCAAGTCCCCAGGCATAGCCACATTTTTTAAAGCGTTTTTTTACATACGTGAGTGTTTGTGTGTGTATATGAATGCCACAGCACATATGTAGAGGTCAGAGGACAACTTTTTTTTTTTCCTTTCGTCTTTTGAGACAAGAGTCTCCCTGTAGTCCCAGCTGACCTGGAACTTTCTATGTAGACCAGGGTGGCCTTGAACTCACAGAGATCCGCCTGCCTCTGCCTCCTAAATACTGGGATTAAAGGTATGTGCCACCACGCCTAGCAAAGGACAACTTTTAAAAATTACATTTTCTAGCCAGGTGTGGTGGAACACACTTTTAATCCCAGCACGTGGGAGGCAGAGGCAGGTGAATCTCTGTGAGTTCGAGGCCAGCCTGGTCTACATAGTGAGTTCCAGGACAGCTGGGGCTACAGGGAGACCCTGTCTCAAAAAAAAGTTTACATTTTATCCATTTGTATGAGTGTGAGTGTGGGCATGCTCCAGTGGAAGTCAGAGGACAACCTGTGAAGTTAGTACTCTCCCTCCACTAAGTACTGGGGACTTAACTCAGTTTGTCAGGCTTGGCAACAGGACCTCTACCCACTGAACCATCCCACCGGGCTCCATTGTTCACCTATATTGAGGATGGTCTATCCATTTCTAAGTAAGAATTTGTGAGATTGCTCAAATCCTACCCAACAGTACTTGTTTATTTTAGCCATTCTCTTAGGTAGAAAACAGCATTGTTTTGTTGATTGATTGCTATAAGCCACACTGTGATGAACATTTTGTGTATCTTTCTTTCTGGCTTTTTCCACCTAATTCTTCAGGACAAATTCCTGGGGTTTGTTTTTGGTTTTTGGTACAAGGGAATCCAACCCAGGGTCTTGTGCAAGCTAGGCAAGTGTTATATCACTGAGATGCAAGCCTAGCCCTAGAAATGAAATTTCCATGTCAAAGGGAATGAAGAATTTATGGTGTGTATGTATGTTGTGTTTGGATATCATATTTAACAAGTTTTCTGCCTACTTCTCCGGAGGCCTTCTGCAGTTTTTAAAGGCTGAATTAACGTTGGACCCAGACTGTGGAATCTCCTGTTCAAATGCCATTCACATCTGCCTGAATCATCAGAAGAGCAGCTAGTAACAGCAATCAATACCTACATGGCAGTTACTATATGGAGGGGTGTGTATGTGTGCATGTTTGTGTATGTATGCCTATATGTGTACAGGTCAACGGTGACACTGGGTACTTTGCTCAGGGGGGTTGGATCTCAACATGCATGACCTTAACCACTGGGCCATACCCTATAAGTGTGAGCAGGTGAAATCTGAGAGTTTGATGACAAGCAGCTAAGTCCTTGGGATCTTACCAGACCCACTTAAAAAGCTGACTGGCTGGTAAAATGGCTTGGTGGGTAAACATGCTTTCTTCCAAGCTGATGTCCTGAGTTCAATCCCCTAGACCCACAAGGTAGGGGAGAGAACTGGCTCCCAAGGTTGTCCTCTGGCCTCCCCTCAAGTGCTGTGGTGTACACACACACACACACACACACACACACACACACACACACACAGAGAGAGACATAAAATAATAAATGTAAAAATTTTAAAGGGGGTTGCTAGAGAGATGGCTCAGTGGTTAAAAGCACTGGCTGCTCCTGCAGAGGACCTGCATTCAGTTCCCAGCACCTATATGGCAGCTAATAACCATCCATAACTCCAGTTCTAGGGGATCCAACATCCTCTTCTGGCCTCTGTGGGCACTGCATGATATGGTCGCAGACAAAATGCTCATACACATAATAAATAAATATTTAAAAATAAAAGAAAAAGGCTGGGTGTGGTGGCGCACGCCTTTAATCCCAGCACTTGGGAGGCAGAGGCAGGCAGATCTTTGTGAGTTCGAGGCCAGCCTGGTCTACATAGTGAGTTCCAGTACAGCTGGGGCTATAGGGAGACCCTGTCTCAAAAAGACAAAAAAAAAAAAAGAGACAACTGAAACTGAGGGCAGGGAGGTGGGACTGGTATCACTATCACAGAAGTCACATTGATGGGGTGACTGTATGACATAGCATTATGCTACACTTTAGGTAGACTGCTGCATTTAACCTTTACCTGATAGGAGGGACAACCACCATCCCTATTTCACACTTGAGGAAACAGGTTCAGAGAGGTGAATTGACTTGTTCGTGGTCACACAGCATATTAGTGACAGTGAGGATTGGAACCTGGAAGTGGGGCAGTCTACACTATTAACCTCCTTGGCTTCCAATGTCAGACAAAGGACATGGGGGTTGGAGGGCCCTGAAACAGGAAGAAGAGGCTGACCCCCACCTCGGCCACGGGACTTGGCTCCTGGCTTCACGATCCAAATGTTCCGATCCCCCTCCATGTCAATCTGAGGTACCACAGCTCGCAGCTGCTGCAGGATGTCCTCACAGCGCTGGACCTGGGTCTCAAGATGTCTGAGTTCTGCCCCTTCACTGTAGGGAGACAGTGGGACTTGGGCAGGGTGGCTCCTGGGGGCAGATGAGAGGACAGGACGAGCAGACACAAAACCCTCTGCCTGTGCTCCAACCTGTCTTGGTCAGCCTGTCCCCTAGATATCTGCACAGTTCTCTCCCAACCTCTACCCCATCCACAAACTACCCACCACCCCCAATCTGCCCAGACCACACAAATGGGAAAGGTGGTAGAGTCCCATTGCCTTCATCCCCCTAACTCCACTTCCACCTTCTGCCACCTCCTTTCCTATTAAAACTGCTTTTGGGGGCTGGAGAGATGGCCCAGTGGTTAAGAGTACTGGCTGCTCTTGCAAAAGAACCAGGTTCCAACTGTATCTCCAGTTCCAGGGGATTTGATGCCCTCTTCTGGCCTCTAAAGGCACTGCACATGTGGTGCACTTAACATACATGCAGACACAACACTCGAATAAAAATTAATAAAATTGTCCGGGTGTGGTGGGATACGCCTTTAGTCCCAGCATTGGGAGACAGAGACAGGTGGATCTTTGTGAGTTCAAGGTCATCCTAGTCTACATAGTGAGTTCCAGGCCAACTGGGGCTACAGGGAGACCCTGTCTCAAAAAGACAAAAAAATTAATAAAATCTAGGTTTGGGCATGGTGATGCACACCTTTGATCCTAGTACTCAGGAGGCAGAGGCAGGTGGATCTTTGTGTTCCAGGTCAGCTGGGGCTAATGAGGAGACTCTGTCTCAATAAATGAATAAATAAATAAAATAAATAAAAGCTTTAAAAAAAAACTGCTTTTGGTAGAGCTGATCACCATCATATGGGGCAACACTATGCCAGGTACTCTGCCAAGGACTTTGCTCTATTATAAGTCATCCCAAGGGGGAGTATACCCAGCCCATATTAGGGAAACAGAAGCTTGGAGAGTTCAGAGACTTGCCCAAGTCTACACTCTGGGTCAAGTGACTAAACCAAGATGCAAATCCCTGTGTGCTTTACAGAAGGTTCTCTTCATGGTTCACCCCTCCTAATCTGGACCTAGCCCTGGTTGATGGGTGGGTCCTTTCCTAGCCTAATTTTGCTCAGGCTCATCTGTCTCCCACCTCATCTGGTTTTGTTTTTCTACCATCACACTCCTTCAACTGACATCTATTTGTTCAGGTTACTGTCTGTCCTCTCCCACTAGAACTTTCTGGCATGTGGTACTGAAGATTGACCAGGGCGAAGTATGCTGAGCATACGCTCCAGGCTGAGCCTGAACAGGGCTTTAGTCTGCATTCTTTGCTCTGCCGTATTTCCCTCTCTAAGCACTCACTGCACCTGCCACTTAGCAGGTACTTTCCAAAAGTCTGTTAACTGAAAGGTTGATTATGTGCATGCTCTGGAAGGAGTCTGCCTCAGCAATTGGACTGTACAGACAGGAGTTCATGGGCAAGGGGGTGGAGAACCCTGTTCCCCTCAACTACAATTCATACACTATCCCAGATGGCTACATCTCCCAGGCCATCAAACAGCAAGGAAGCCGGCCCCCAACCCCAACCCTGAGCACTAACCCTACTTTAATACCATAGCTTCCCTGATGCCTGTCAACATGGAGAACTTTCTTCTTATTAGAAGCATTACGAACAAGGGTAGCCAGAGAAAGCGGGCCTCAGACATCGCCAAGGAATGTGCACACCTCACTTCTAACATATTTTCCTGTGGTCCATGGCATGCTGTTACCTGCTTAGCAAATCCAGGATGAGGCCCAGGAAGTATCGCCTGGGGTGGCAGGGGTATGAGTAATTTGAAAGTCTATTTGTTTGATTTTATATTTAGGAAAAAAAATCCAGTGTTTTCATGAAAGTCATCATTATAAAAGTCAGGTAGGTTGGTGAGGCATGGACTTGTCTTCAAACAGCAGAGAAACCCAGTCATAAACAGCGATGAATTCATTTCTTGTAGTGAGCCATTCACCACTGTATAAACCTGTGGGGTGTTTTGTTTTGTTTTGGTGGATGTTGCTATGTAGCTCAAGCTGGCCTCAAACTCACAGCAATCCTCCTGCTTCAGCCTCCTGAGTGTTGGAATTAAAGGAATGCACCACCACACTTGGTCATTTATTTTTTAACTGAGTACAGGGATTCACAGAGGCAAGGAGTGTTGGATTTCCTCCGGAGCTGGAGTTACAGCAAGTGGTAAGCTGCCTGATATGGGTTCTAGGAACTGAATTCGGGTCTTCTGAAAGAGCAGTAGGTATTCTTAATTGCTGAGCCATCTCTCTAGCCCCAAAGGGGGTTATTTAAAATCTATTTTGCATTTAAGTAAAAGTACATTCAAAAGTTTCTAGGGTATAGGGCTTGGAAGCTGTGACGGCCGATCTTGAGTTCAAGTCTATCGCAGCCCAGGCCATGAGCTAGGTGCTGGTGTTATGCTAAGCCAGGGACAACTGGTTTGGAGTCTAACATAGAGCCAGTGGGAACCTCTGAGGGTTCCTGAGCCCAAGAGTCCAGGACAAATAAAAGAGGGAGAGACTGGGCTAATGAGGAGGGTTTGAACCAACCTGCCCCCAAGCCCCACAGCCTGCCTGCAGGACACACATTAAACTCCTTGCCCACAGACTGCAGGGTACTTACTGAACTACTTGATAGTAGTGCTGGAGGAAGAGTGTCCAACCCTCAGGACTTAAGTACATGGGGGCCTCGGGGTCTTCATCAATGTCATTGTGAGCCAGGCTGCTAAGGTGCTCCTCACATGCACGCAGAGCCTCATCCACAAACTCTGGGGATATTGCCGGGGTTTTTTTCTCCTGTTTCTTCTGCTGTGTGTCTTCTGCAGAGATAGAAGGGGCTTGTCATCAGCCTATCTAGAAGCAGGTAAAGTGACACAAGCCATAGCCCTTGCTGACCCGAGGCCTATCACTTACCTAAGGCCCTATCCTAAAGACGCTCGAGGCCCAGCATGAACTAGATCCTCAGCTCTCCGGGATATGCCACACAGTCTCCTGAAGCCACTCTAAATTTACCAACTCTAGTGTTTCATCCTTGGCCTCAGCTGCCCCATACCTCTCACTCACCTAAGGCTCTACTTTGAATTTCTCTGAGGTCTCTAGAGCATGCCCAGCTGCAGCACATACCTGCAGTCTTTCTATCCCTGGCCTTTTGACACTTCTGAGGCCTTACAACGTACAGGGAAGCCTTAGCCAAGGTGACTCTAAATATAATACATATGGAGGCCAAATCTGACATGGCTTCTTTTTTTTTGGTCTTTTTGGGACAGGGTCTCCCGGTAGCCCTAGTTGTCCTGGAACTCACTGTGCAGACCAGTCCTCTGCCTCCCAAGTGCTGGGATTAAAGGTGTGCACCACCACACCTGGCTCTGACATGGCTTCTTATGTCCATTTGGACACCTGAAATTCAACCCCACTCAGAACCTGACAGACACTGATAGCCCTCAAGCCACAAAGTACTAATGATGCCATGATAGAGGTCTGACACTCACCTGGAAGTGATGCACAACCCCCCCCCCTTTTCAGAAGACCTGATACACACACATGACCCTGGCTCAGCTCTGAACATCTGCATCTAAAAACCCTAACTTACCACCAAGTCCTCAATTGCCAACCTGCATCTACCCTCTACATGTTGGCACACAAGTCTTTTGGTACCTGACACACTTAGGCCAGGTGACAACAATTAGGGAGGATCCCCCTGGAAGAAGCAAGAACATTCCTCCTTCCAGTAGGGCTGCTCATTTCTCCTCAGAAATCCCTGGCCAAGGAGCCTCAGGATTGCAGAGAGAAAGGTGAGCAATGGTTTGGGGCCACCATGCAGAGGGTTTCCATGTCCCCCTCAGAAATCCCTGGCCAAGGAGCCCCAGGATTGCAGAGAGAAAGGTGAGCAATGGTTTGGGGCCACCATGCAGAGGGTTTCCATGTCCCCTCCTCTCCCAGATGTTCCTTATGTTCAGGTACGGGAGGTCCTGAGGACACCTGCACATTGCTGTTTGTCTGCTTTCTCCTCCCTACAGAACTTGAGCTGGCTCTCATAGACAGGAATAGACTATGTGATCTCAGTCTGCCTCTAGGGGGCTCTTTCAGTCCTTTTTGAGTGTTGAACAATTAAGTGGACAGGAAGACAAGTGTCTGGATGGATGAGGGGGTACACTGAAGAATGAATAAGTGGTAGATGGGAGAATGGGCAAGCAGGTGGAGAGATGGGTAGATGGACAGGCAGGAAGGTGGGAGTGGCCAGATGGATAGAACCTGGAGAGGATGGCAGAGGGAGTGACTCTAGAGACCAGCCTGGGTGGCCAGGTGGGAGGATGGATGAATAAATGGATGGCTGCTGGCTGGGTCTCTAGGGTGAGTGGGTAGGTAGATAGGTAGATGGCTGAGTGAACAAATGGCTGGACAGGCTGGTGGCAAACACCGGAGTCTGGTCATATAGCTTTATATGTGTGGATGAACAAACAGGTGAACAGCTGGGTGCATAATGGTGGGGAGTGGAGGTAACCATGGCACTCACCTGGAGCCTCCTCCTCTCTTGCCTGGTTGTAGTAGGAGTCCAGCTTCACATCCGACTTCATCACCAGTTTGAGAACATTGCGGGCAGCCGTCAGCCAGAAGTCCTCTGCTCGCAGTAGATACCCTGCTTAGCCCCCAGGCTCGAGGCCTATCCTGGTTCCAGAACCTCACCATGACTTGCCCCATTTTGGATCTGGAACCTGACTCTACCTTTCTGATTCTAGAACCTGGCTCCTATTCCAGATATAGAATATCAGATCTACAATGTGACCAGACTTGGCACATATTCTGTCTTTAGAAACTGGCTTGAACCTGTTTTACTCCTTTATTCTTTTCCTCTTCCCCCGCCCTTTTTTTTTTTTGTCAGGGTCATGCAGTTATAAGCTGATTGGCTTGGAATTCACTAAAAAGACTAGGCTGGACTCCACCTTGTGGTAATCCTGTCTGTGCTTCCTGAGCACGGAGATTACAGGTGTGACCCACCACACCTGTTCCCCTCATCTGCTTTTGATAGAATCAGACCATGGCCTGTCATAAATTTGTAATATAATTTAAAACCTGACATCTAATCTGGATCCAAATTCAGACCTGAACTTAGAACCCATTCTGGAGGTGGAACCTATGTTGCCTTAGGAACCCATGGCTTACAGCCTTTTGTGGAGCCTGGACCGGTCTGGATTCCAAATGGAACCACTCTACCAACCTCTAGAAGATGCTCTAGACTAGGCTTCTCAGGAGACCAAGAATGGCCCAGCTAGGAGGCTCATTAACAGGAAGGACCCATGAATGAGAACTAAGGTCTTGGGGTACAGGAGGGAAGTCTACTGAGTAGATAAGGACTAGAGGAGAGGCCTTTTGCGCCGCAACATGGGACAGATAGCATAAGAGGTCCAGGCATGGGGCTGGTGTTCCCTTACCTATGAAGGCTTTCTTGTCATCCTCTGCCCCCAAGCGGTAACAGCGAGGGAAGAAGGAGTCTGCATCAGCCTCATCAAACCAGGGTAGATTCCGGAGGTTGAGACACAGGCCTACCTATGGAGGTAGCTGCTGACCAGGCTTGCTGGGGCACAGAAAGTTCCAAAGGGCTCCCTCACAGGTAGCATGTGTCCATTCAGTCATGAAGACCCTACCACGAGACTCCACCCCACTTGCTAGGCCTGACTTGATAACTGTCTCCAGGATCTGCCCAGCTGAGAAGGCCCCATATGGAGGGCCTCCCATGATGGAGTAAAAGGTCCCTCCAATGATCCTTTAAAGGCCTGCTCTGCCCAGGAAGCTTTCTTAGTTCACACCAAAAATAACATGGCAGACTCCAGTTAAAAAGCCCTTCATCTGGGCTAGAGAGATGGCTCAGTGGTTAAGAACACTGACTGTTCTTGCAGAAGATCCAGGTTCGAATCCCAGCACCCACATGGCAGCTAACAACTGTCCATAACTCTAGTTCCAGAGGATCCAGGATCTGACAGCCTCTTCTGTCCTCTACGGGCATTGCACAACTTACCTACATGCAGGCAATACATGCATACATGTAAAATAAAAATAAATATATTTTTTAAAAAAGCCCTTCATGCATGGCAGAACCAGGCCTTAAATGGAATTCTCATTTAAATGAGGCTTAAAGAGGCTGATCCACTTGCTATAAAACCCAGGTAACTCAATGCAGCCAGCAAGCAGCCAGTCATGCGCCGCTCAGGGGGTCAGGACCCCCTTGTTCATGGTCATCAATTTGGTGGGTTTTTTCTGGTTCCAAATCCCATGAGAACTGAGCCAACTGTCATGTCAACACATGTGAGGACCAAACCTTGAATTGACCTCGTGTCTCACTAAGTTAAAACACCTTTTTTTTTTTTTCCAAGAAACTTCTCTGACCGAAAAGCATAGCAGGGTACTGGGCCACCAGCCCAAGGGCAGGGGTTGGAAGGTGCCCTACCCACTTCCCTGGGGTGCCTACCTTTGTGGTAAAGGAGCCTGCACGGGCATAGTGGTTTATCATCTGATCCTTGGAGAGGAAGCGACAGTCTAGCACATCTCGCCGAGTGGTCCAGATGAGGTAGGGGGTCTCATTCCGAACCATGCGGGACTGGAGAAAATGGGGGGAGATGGAGACAGGGAGGCCAGCAAGGGTAGCTTCTCCCTGCCTTGCTGAACAGAAAGAAGTGTCCAAGGTGTCCCTGAGCCCTGTAGTCCAGAAACCACTCATTCCTCCAAAAAGCATGAGCGATGGGTAAGTGTGGGGCACCCTGGGAAGAGGGTGGAGGCTAGTTGCTGGCAGAGTAAGCGGAGGTGAGATTGGAAGGAGAGCCAAGGGTGTGCCAGTCCAGAGTTGGGGTGAGGAAGTTGTGCAGCAGCCAGGCGAACAGCAGAGGTGTCCTGTGGGGCGTTCAGACTGTGGGGTGAGATCGTGCACCCACGGGGCATGGGTGAAAGCTAATGGAGACTGTAGGCAGGGCTTGAATGACCCATGAGTTATGAAAAACCATCTTTTTGTAAGTCGCTCCCTCCGTGTCATATAAACCATGCAAAGCCCAAGATAAAAATGTGTTATGCTGGTTTGTCCATCCACGTCAAGACCACAAGACCCTGAAAGAGTTAGGTAGGGTAGGTCAAACAGCAGGGAAGGGAAAATTTAGTGCAACAAATTGGCATAGTCAGCAGACTGGCCCTGGAAACAACAAACCATGGGAGTTTGGGAAAAGCAAGGGAGCTAGTGATGGCGTTGACGTGGCTCACACAGTGAATCATGAAATATGTAATTAGAATGACACAGGGGATGCAGATGCTGACAGAATCAAAGGGGAAAAAATCCCAAGGCCACAGCTGTGTTGTAAATGTGGGGAAATAGCTCAGTTGCTAAAATAAATGGGTCTGAGAACTCTTTAAAGGTCATAGAAAACCTAGAAAAAATTCTCTGAGCCTCAAGCCTGGAGCCTCTGCTGAGACCCAGAGAGGGGACATGGCTACTTTGCATATTAAAAGATTTTCCAAAGGCAGAGGAAGCTGAAAAGGCTAGGGAGGTACTGGCAGACTCAGTTTCGGCCTCAGAGCTTGAGAGAAAGAAAAAATGGGACATTTTAACTTGTGTTAAGGTTAGGGTCCAAGGACTCAGGAAAAAAGACAGATAGTAGTGAAAAAAGAAATGACCTAAAAATAAAAGTAGCTAAAGCTGCCCCACAGATTCAACCTTTGAGACAAAAAGAGAAAAAAGCTAACAGTACTGTAACTAGGAAATACTCCACACTGGAGCTGTTAAAACTAGGAAAAAATCACAAGCAAGCAGAGTCCCTCACCACATGGCTTGTGAGGGTATGGGACATAGGAGCAAATAATGTCAGTCTAAGTTCTTCTTAAGAATCACAGCTGAGTTTTATAATTACCCATCTGTCCTTGTGACATAGGCTGTTCAACCTAGGCCAATGGGGGGGGCAGTCCTTAATGGGATGGCTGGTGCAAGGCATTAAAGATACACGGTCAACACCAAGAGAGACTCCCATGATTAGCAGGGGCTGGAAGACTATAAAGGAGGGACAGGCATTACTGAGAGAACTAGGTATGAGAAAAGCAATATATGATGCCCAGTTCACTGGGCCAGGTAAGACTGTGTTTACCAGAAATATAAAGGAAAGCTTAATTCAACTGGGACCTTGAGAATGGTATAGAGCTGTGGTGGTTTGAATGAAAATGTCCCCCGTAGGCTCCAAGTATTTGGACATTTTGTCCCCAGATGATGGTGCTGTTTTGGGAGGTTTTAGAAGGTGTGGCTATCCTGGAGGAAGCATGTCACCGGGGGTGGGCTTAGAGAGTTCTCAAGCTTTGCCAGTTCTCCAGCTGCTCTCTTGCTTCCTGTGCCTGTGTGATGATGTGAGAGCTTAGCTTCTGCTTCTGCTGCTCCTGATTGAGCCACCTCCAGCCACCATGGCTCCCGGCCATGACGGACTGTAATTCCCCTGGAACTGTAAACTCAAATAAACTCTTCCTTCTATAAATGGTCAGTGTTTCTATCACAGCAACAGAAAAGTGACTAATACAAGAGCTTTAATGGTTTTGCTAAGTCCTTTAATGGGACAGGATCTTTGTAAAGTGAGAGGCTGTAGCAGATCTAAGTGACTCTGACCAGTATATAAAACATGCCTATAGAACAACAGAACACTCTACAAGAGATATAAGAAAGACCAGACAGAAGAAATGGTCTGTTTGGTTTACTCAAAGAATGTGGCAAGATTTATGTCCAGCCCAAATTCCCAAAGAAAAAAATGATAGGAAACCAAATTTAGTACTAAGGAGTTTCTGGAAGTCTTTAAAACTGGAAGAACAGTTTACAAAAGGCATTCAAAGGATAAAAACTGTCCCAGGGATGGTTAAGAATCCCCAAAGCTTAAATAAGGCCCATTTCTCTCCCGAGAAAGGCTATGCTAGGGGTGGAGGCAGTTTTTCCCACCAAGGCCTCCCTCAGCAGCCAGGTATGGTCAATGGAGAGATGACAGATATGGCTACAGTCAGGAGGCAGACCCAGGGCCTGCCTGACTCAGGGAACCAACGGGTATAGCAGCGACAAGAGAAACCCCCTGCCTCCTTAGCCCAGTGCAGGGTCAGGCAACTGCAGCCTTGACAAAAAAATACAAAGAGACTCCATGTAAGATTCTCAGAATACAGAATGACTCCAAAGCGATAACTAAAGATAGTAAAGAACTAAACAAATTAATGCCTCTTACCCATACTATGGTACCTAACAAAGAACTATGGAGAAAGCAATTAATACGAATGGATAAAACCTTTCCATGCTGTGTTAGACCTTGTCTATGACTGATTTAATATATGGTATTAACCTTTGAGTGTTTTACATATGTGAAACCCATTTGAAAGATACCTGAAGAAACAAAGGCCAGCCATAGTTGTAAAATCTTGGGAGTTTTATGGCTGGGTAAGATTAAAAACAGAGGCTCCAAAACTATACAACTGTTAAGGAAAACTACAGTACGAGGGATGGGTTTCCCCCCATGAGCTGTTGGTCAGAGAAGAGACCCTTGAGGTCCTCCAATTCACCAAGGCTATTGCCACTAATGTCTGTTGTACACTAAAAAGGTCAGTAAGGCCATGTTGCTGAAGACACTCCTTGATGTGAGCATGGGAGAAGAAGAGATGGAGCTGTGACTAAGCCAAAAACTCCATGCCACTGGATGGATGGCTTTCATAGTGCTAGAAGGCACTATGCAGATGGTTGGGGAAGAAAGGATCCCCTGTGATCTACTCAACAATGGACCCCACATGCTGCACACTATGGACATGCCAAGCAATGCCTGCTAAGTGCAATAATGGCTCAACTCACATACATTCAACCGACAAATTTCTAATTGGATAAGACCCGCTCCTAGGGGTGGAACACACATCTAGTACTGTAGACCAGGCCAACCCCCTGTATCAGGGAAGGCTACAAGTCCCAGCAGGGAAACAGTTGCAAGTATACTGTTTAATATGGTACACCTACTGGGATATCTTCTAGACATTTATATTTATATTAATGTTTGTTTAGCTGTGTCTACTTCCTTCCACTTGTCTTCATAGTAGGGGAAACACCACTGAGATAGATCAGCGACCATGTCCTGAAGATGAATGATGGGGAACCCCAAGATATCACTATCTCACCATGATACAAGAGAGAGCACCCTGCATCTGTCACCCCCTCCAAGGCTCAGGGAAATCCGCAGAAGAAATGGCAGAAAGTTTGTAAGAGCCGGAGGAAAGGGGTGGAGTGTAGCCCAGGAATCACTCATTCCTCTGAAAAGCCTGAAAAGCCTGAGCAAGAATTCAGGGCACCCTGGGAAGAAGGGTGGAGCCTAGCCACCAGCAGAGCAAGCAGCAGCAAGATTGGAAGAGGGAGAGAGCCAAGGATGTGCCGGTCCGGACCTGGGACCAGGAAGTGTGTGGCCGCTGGCTGAACGGCAGAGGCATCCTGTGGGGTGTTCAGACCATGGGGTGAGATTGCACAGCCACAGAGCATGGGCAAAAGCTAATGGAGACTGTAGGTGGTGCTTGAATGATGCATGAGTTATGAAAAGCTGTCTTTTTTTTTTTTTTTTTTTTGGTCTTTTTGAAGCAGGGTCTCCCTATAGCCCCACCTGTCCTGGAACTCACTATGTAGACCAGGCTGGCCTTGAACTCACAGAGATCCACCTGCCTCTGCCTCCCAAGTGCTGGGACTACAGGCGTGTGCCACCATGCTTGGCTGAAAAGCCATCTTTTTGTAAGTCGCTCCCTCCCTGTCATATAAGCCATGCAAAACCATGTGTTATGCCAGTTTGTTGGCCCATGTCAGGACCAGAAGACCCTGAGAGAGTGAGGGAGGGTCAAAGAGAGAGTGAGAAGGGGAAAATTTAGTGCAGCAAGCCCCCACACCATCTTTGCATAAGGCAGAAAAAGACATCTGTTCCTCCAGAGCATACACTGGGTGAGCATACCAGGCCAGGTTTCTAGCCTCCATTTGACTTGTGTCCTAAGACAGAGACTAAGCTGAACCACTCAATGCCACACCTGCTCTGGCCTATGGCCATTAGTGATTTGCCCAGTGAAAGGGCAGTGACTCCAACTGATGGGCACCCAGCTTTTTCCAAGGACCCCCACCTCACTATTCTTCCCACAACTCTGGGACACAGGATGATTAATAACTAACAATATCTGTCAGACCCTGTTCTTACTGTTTAGCCCAGTAGCCCATGTAAGCCTCAAACTCACTAAGTTGCCCAGGCTAGCTTCTAACTCATGACCTCATTCTTCAGTCTTTTCAGTGCTAATTACAGATGTGCACCACCATGCCCAGCCTGAAACTGAAGTTTAATCTCCTTGTGCCCCAATCCTCTCATCTATGAATGCAATAACCCTATGTTATAGGACTAGGGTGAGGATTAAATGAGCAGACATTGAAAGCACTTAGAACAAGGTTCCAGATAGATGTCGTGGCAGATGCCACTCAGCAGGCTGATGCAGAGGCATGTGCAGTTCAAGACCAGCCTGAGCTCTGTAGTGAGACACTGTTCAGAAAAACAAAGATGCCAGTAATCCCTTCACTTAGAAGGTGGAAGCAAGACGATAAGGAGTTCGAGGGTATTCTTGACTACATATTTAGTTGGGCATGGTGGTGCATGCCTTTAATACCAGCAGAGGTAGAGGCAGGTGGATCTCTGTGAGTTTGAAGCTAGCCTGGTCTACATAGTGAGTTCCAGGTCAGCTGGGGTTACAGGGAGACCCTGTCTCAAAAATACCCAAAACACAAACAAATAAAAAGATTTAGAAGCCAGGGCTAGAGAGATTGCTTAGTGGTTAGGAACACTGGCTGCTCTTTTTTTAAAAAAAAACTTTAAAAAATTTTTTTATTATTTTTATTTTATGTATATGTGTGTATTGCCTGCATGTAGGTAAGTGCACCCATGTTGTGCAATGCCTGCAGAGGTCAGAAGAGGCTTTTGGATCCCCTGGAACTGGAGTTACAGACAGTTGTTAGCTGCCAGGTAGGGTGCTGGGATTCAAACCTGGGTCTTCTGTAAGAACAACCAGTGTTCTTAAGCACTAAGCCATCTCTCTCCAGCCCCATACCGGCTGCTCTTACAGAGAAACCAGGTTCAATTCCCAGCACCCACATGGTGGCTAACAACTGTCCATAACTCCAGTTCCAGGGGAATCCAACCCCCTCTTCTGACCTCCTCGAGCATTGCACGATTCAGGTACACTTGCACACATGCAGGCAATACAGTCATACACACAAAATAAAAAAATAAAATAAAATATTTTAAAAAAGATTTAGGCCAGGGAAGGTGGTACATGCAACTTAGTCCCAGAACTTGGGAGGCAGAGGCAGGCGGATCTCTGAGTTCAAGGCCAGCCTGGTCTACACAGTGAGTTCCAGGATAGCTGGAACCTGGAGACCCTGTCTCAAAAAGACCGAAAAAAAAAAAAAAAAAGGTGGGCCTGGGTTACAAGAGATTTTGTTTAATAAAATGGAGCGGGAAGGAGAGGACCACTGTGATGACCAGTTTTGTTGACACAATCTAGAATAATTTGGGAAAAGAGTAAAAACAAACGACTGTCTCAATCGGTTGGCCTGTGGAGACTATGTTGATCACATTAATGTGGGAAGAGTCAGTCCACTATGGACAGCAGTATTCCTTGGGCTTGGATTTTGGGCAGTGTAAGAGTGGAGAAAGTCACCCACCAAAGAACCTTCTTTTCTAAGAGACAGAGATAGTTACAGAGTTCCACAATTGGTCATATACAGATTGTCTATGCATTGCCCAAGTGTTAAGTGGCTCATCTAGGATGCAACTGCTACACCTAAGGCTCACAGAACATAGAACAAGGATGGAGAACACTAATGTATGCATCTTTCAATTCTCATCAGTGAAGCTCCCTCATTCAACAGAGGGCCAGGAACGCAAAAGGTCACAAATGGCCAAAACACAGAGAATTAAGCGTCTGCAGAGTGTGGGTCCTTGGACAGGACTCCTACATGAAAATCCACCTACCCAGGGCTCAGAGATCATTGAAGAAGAGGGGGCAAAAAGACTGTAAGAGCCAGGGAGGAGGTGCATGACCATATAGAAATAGTCCTACAGTTTCCTGGGACTCTTTTCATATAAACATACAGCAATAGTGGCAGCATACACAAGACCCATGCAAACTTAAGCCTCAAAAACCCAGCACAGAACTGTGAAATGAACAGCAGGCCCCAATCTTAGTCGAAGAATTATTGGCAGCTGATTACTGCTGGGTGAGAAAGAGCTGATTTTTTGTTTGTTTGTTTGTTTGTTTTTAGTCTTTTTGAGACAGGGTCACCCTGTAGCCCCAGCTACCCTGGAACTCACTATGTAGACCAAGCTGGACTTGAACTCACAGAGATCCGCCTGCCTCTGCCTCCCAAGTGCTGGGACTAAAGGTGTGCGCCACCACGCCTGGCAAGAGCTGATCTTCTTAAAGGGAGGGACTTTAGATAGACTGTCTAGATCCCAGTGGGTTAACTTACACTGAGGGACATCTGGGAACACTAACTTTACATGACAGGCCTTAACACAAATGACAGAAGGTATGAACTCTAGTTTGTGAGCTATGAGGGTGCCAAAGGGGGGGGGGGGATAAAGATGATTTTCTGTATGAAATACACAAAAATTAAATAATTTTTTTTTAAAAAAAGAATGATTTTTAAAAAAAGAGTGGAGAAAGTGAGGTATAGTGGGCACACACGTATTCATTTCTCTAGCTGTTTGAAGTTCTTGCCACCTTGACTTCTCTGCTTTGAGGGGCTGTAATCTGGAATTGTGAAATAAAATAAATCCTTTCTCCCCCCAAATTGCTTTTTGCTTGGCTATTTTATCATAGCAATAGAAATAAAACTAATACAGCCAGCAAGATGGTTCAGTGGGTAAAGGTGCCCGCTGCTAAGACTGACTACCTACCTGAGTTTGATCCCTGGAACCTACAATGGAAGGAGAGAATCCACTTCTGAAAGTTGTCCTTTGACCCCCATGTGTGTGTGGCATACACCATGCATATCACACACACACACACACACACACACACACACACACACACATACACACACACACAAATAAAAAGAAATGACAACTTCATACAGTTCACTGAGTCTGGGTGGGGCTAAACTCTAAACCCAAGTATCCTCCCTTTAACACGCATGCCTTCCATACCATCATGCCAGCCTCCCTCAGTTTTGTATGTTTCTATGTCTGTAAGTGCACATTTGTGCATGTGTATGTGTGTGCCTGTGTGTGTGTGCATGTGTATGTGTGTGTACGCCAGAGGATGATATTGGGTATTGCTAGGAGCCATCCATCTTGTTTTTCAGGCAGGGTCTCTCCCTGGAGTGAGGCTTGCTCAGTAGGCTAGGCTGGCCAGGCCAGCAAGCCCTGGGGATCCTCTGGCCTCCACCTCCCCAGTCCTGGGATTACAAGCATTGCACCACCACACCTGGCTTTTTACATGAGTACTGGAGATTGAACACAGGTCCTCATGTTTGTACTGCAAGCACTTTACTGACTGACCTATCTCCTTAGCCCCTCTCTTGACTTTTAAAGCCTTTCCTTTCAGCCTTCACTTGCCAAGTGCAAAGAAAGGAGTGAAATAGTCTACTTGGAAGGGAGAGTCACCAGGCATAGGCCTTATCTGAGTCCTACCTTTCTGTACAGACCTATCTGGTGTTTAGAGAAGCAATTTGTTTTCACAGACAAGAAACTGAGGTCCAGAGAAGGAAGGACTTGCCTGAAGTTACCCAGCTGGACACCAGTGCTCTCCTTCTAAACAGAAAGCCACCTGCCAGCCCTCTGCCTCATCTTGATCTCCAGGGATCCTCACCATCAAAGCATGTATCCCATCTACATCATCAAAGTCCAGAAATCCATCAAAATCCAACATCTGTGGCTTCCGGAACTCCTCATTCTCTTCTTCATCCTCTGTGGATACAGAGAAGACCCCATGGGAACATGTCTGTGCCCCTGAAGCCCTTTAAAGACTCAACCCTGGGCCAGTGGGAACCAAAGGTAAACAGCTAGAGAATGGCAGTGTAGAAAGGGAGGGACCTACTCACCATCTTCTGTGGCATCACTATCCCCTATCAACGAACTATCCACATCCTTCTGGGGTGGTGGCAGGGTGGTGCCTGGAGGGTGGACCATCTTCTTTTCAACCCAGCCCCTCCGGCGCAAGAGACACCGGATCACTGGGTAGCAGCCGTGGATCATAAAGATCTTCTTCTGCTGTAAGGTGAGAGACAGGGACTTGCCTCAGTGTCACACACATGACATATAATGGAGAACCAGACAGTTGCAAGTCTCTGCCTTCAGGGAATTTTTATATCCCAGTAGATGGCAGCTTATAAACAGTTACTGAGTACTTGTTATGTGATGAGCACTTATATGCGCTAATAAGAACAATTTGCATTTTTATTAGACACTATTACCCTCATCTTACTCGTTATGAAAGGCACAAAGAGGTTAAAGTTTCTCCAAGGTCACATAGTAGGTGACAGCAGAGATTTCTTTCCTTCTGCTTGGCCCTAGGGATTGATCCCAGGGCCTTACACATGTTATGCACACACTCTACCACTGGTACTCCCAGCCTTAAGAGCAAAGATTTAAATACAGGCAGGCTGGTTCCAGAAACAGCATACTTAAATAGAGAAACTACATAGAAATACAAAGCTAGGGAAAGCTGGAAAGGAGTCATGAATGCAGAGTTTAACAAATGGCAGGCAGAAGGTGGAGCATGTGCAAAGGCCCAGAGGCTAGATAGAGGTAAGAAGGAATTGAGAGGCCAGGAAAAACAGTGTGCTGACTAGACTCGGGAGGGCCATGCAGATCTTCAAACCGGCCTTGTGTTTTCTATTACAGAAGGCATAAAGCAATCAAGTAAAAGCAAGGGAATACACAGAGGCTCTGTACATATGGCAGGACTGCATGGGGAATTAATGTAGAAGGGAGTAGGCATGGAGGCAGACCCTAGAAGGCTGCTGTGGTAGGCACAATAGCTAGAATGAGGGTGTTAACAGTGGAGATGGGGAAGAGGTGGAGGAAGTGCCAGGCTGGAGACTCATTGTGGGGGCAAGGAATATGAATGAGCTTGCTGACCCAGTGACAGGAACTGGATTTCTAGTTTCAAAAACTGAGAGATGGGAAAAATTGGAGACTGGGGAGAATGACAGGTTTGGGCAAGAAACAGGAGTAAAGTTTGGGATGCAAGTGAGAGTGAGATGCCTGTGAGCGTTCTGGGTAGAGATGTCCAGCAGAGGACTGATTCTCCAGGGTAGGAGTTGGATGCCAGGCTTTAAAGGTGGTCTTCAGCAAACAGCACACTGCCAGGACTCCCAAGCCCAAGGAAAAAGACAGCTGTGGAGAAGGTCCCTAGAGCATAAACTAATGTTTGAGAACCCTTCAGAGGCAGCAGGAAGGAGCAAGAAAAACTAGGAGCATGCAGCCAGCCAGGGGAGGGTGGGGGTGGGGGGGCGTGGATGTGTGACACAGTGCTCCTGCAAGAGGAAGGCAGGAAAAGGCTGCAGAGTCCCCTCACAGGTCACCAGGGACTGAAATAAGAGTGGTTCCAATGGGAATGGGCAAGGAGCCAGGGCCAAGGTTAGCTGAGGCGCTAATCTCTGGTAGAGACAATTCTGTCAAGTCCAAGACCCTGAGGAGAGACTGAGGATGTGGAGACACTTGCAGATGTGCGTGGGATCAAGTTGTTTTTGTTACTGTTTTCCAAGATTAGGGCCTTGCTATTTCACCCAGACTACCCTCAAATCCGTGGCAATCCTATCTCAGCCTCCTAGAGTGCTGGAATCACAGAGAGAGTCACCACGTTTTTAAAGATGTGAGAAATTAGGTAGGGCCTCCTCCCCATCCCCTCCAACCTTGATAGCTCTCTCCACGTGGATTTTAGCGTTTCTGAGCCGGCCCATGTGGTGAGGTCCTTTGGAGAACCCTCGCCAAAGGACAAGGGAACCTGCAGAGAGATACAGAGTGGGGACACAGAAGGGTGGGGAGCTTAGCCCAGGGACTTTTCCGACTGGGGTTGCCCACGTCCCTCCCCTTTCGCCACCATTCTTCTGGACTCCCACCTCTAATTTCACCTCTCCAGATTCCCCCTTCCCTCCACCCGCATGTTGTCTTCCTGCAGCCGCCAGGCGGCCATGGGTGGCAAGCCGCTCCCGGTCTCACCGTCTAGCGGCGGCAGGGGATCAGGCAGGGGGTCATCCAGGGCCGAGGGGGGGAGGGGAGCGACGGGGTGAGGATTCACAATGCCCTGGGTGCCGAGGACCGGCGGCTTCTGGACACTGCCTAGTTGGCGCGCAGGGAAGGGGCAGCAGTTCCCCCGGCCCCCGCCAGCATGAGCCCCGTCGGGCTGTGCGGAAGCGGGCCCGGGCCATAGCAGTCTGTGAGGCGGCCGGAACTCGGAGCTGCGAACGCAGGGCCACGGGCTTGGCGAACTCGTGTGTGGCTCGGGCGGCTGCGACCTCCGGTGCCAGCTGCACCCAGGGCCGCCCTCTTGGCGGTACCAGGCGGTAGTCGGCCCCAGGTGCCCAGCACTCAGGAGTAGAGCCGCGCCGAGGCCCTGCATACGACCCCTCACAGTACAGCTGGAACCGCCCTGTGCCCGCCTCGCACCGGCCTCCGAAAGGCGCCCTGGCCTCAGGCCCCGCCCTCTGCTTCCCGTCGCCTAGGAGACCGTTGCCCCAGCGCAATCAGGCCTGGGAGAAGGGTTCGCAAGCTGCAGGGGGTCCTAAAAGGGCAACAGAATTAGGGCTTTTCACCAGGAGCTTTAGCTCTGGGCCTCCCTTGCTGTATGCTCTTATGAGCCAGGCACTGGGCAGACCATCGGAATTGGTGTCATGTGTTCCTTATCCAGCAGTTTGTGCCCTGGTTCCGGGGCCTCAGTGCGCATATTTAGAAAGGACCATACTCCAGACTTGGCGGCAGGAACTGTCAAGCAGTCCCTGACCTTATGGAATTTAAGGCTCAGGGTGGAGAAACCAAAAGATAGCCAAAGATATGAAAATGTACTGGTATATGGGGTGGCGAGCAAGCAGTGAGCTGAAACTGGGAAGGGGGCTGCCTAAGGGAAGGCAGTTAGGAGTACCGTTGGAAGAGGTGATTGCTAAGCTAGAAAGCCTAAGTGAGGAGCCAGGAACCACCAGGGGAGGAGAATCACATTCAAGGCAGTGGAAACTCCCTGCCCTGCCAAGCGGTGAGCCTTTCTAGGTCAACTAAAGACAGCTAGTGAGAATGGAGCCTGGTGAAGCTTGATCACACCAGAAGGGCCAGGCAAATCGGGGGTGGTAAGGTCTTTGGGGATAAATAGGAAAGCCAAGGCCTCATATGGGGCAGCAGCGATAAGGCACAGAGCACATGTCCCTTCTTCCAACAACTAGGGAAAAGAAACCAGGTCCTTTGAATCAACTGCTGCAGAAATGAAAAGTTTCAAGAACAATCATGCTTCAACACCCAGGCCCAGTCCGTAAGTGAGCTTTTATAAGTCACAGGGAAATAAGACTCCAGGATAATAAATACACTATCTACCTCATACAACATAGCCAATACTAATACTAGGTCTCATTCTAACACCCTCCCACCCCACCCCACCCCCAGCTTTTGAGCCAGGTTCCACGTTTTATTCTGTGCTAGGATGGGACACAGGTCTTCATGCACACTAGGTAAGCACTCTGCCAACTGAGCTAAATCCCCGCCATGTTTTTTTTTAATGTGTGTGTTTTGCCTGCATGTGAAGTGCACTGCCTTGTCATGCAATGCCTGTAGAGTGGAGAAGAAATCCCCTGGAACTGGTCTTTAACCTCCATCCCACCTCACTCTTGTCAGAATCAACAAACCAGGAGTTAAGAGAGGCAAACTGGCAGTGACCATTCAATCTGGATCCAGGGAAGAACCCAGCTGTCAGTTACCAGGCAGATCTGTTCTTGCAGTACTGTGTGGATCCCACAGCTCTCTCAAAATGACTCCACCCAGTGATTACTTTCCCTAACCTCATCTGGGAACTGGGTTTCCCAAAAGACATGCTACCAGGAAAGGGCTGGCTGGCATCCATTCTGTTCTTGGCCTGCAAAATCTGGTTTTATGGTCTCTAGACTCTGGAAGACAAAGCAGAGTTCCAGGTGGCTTACCTGAGGAAGGCTGTCCTTTAAGGGTTGAGTGACCAGCAGCTGCCATTTCCATGTGGTCACCCAGCTTCACTGGGAGTACCTGGAACAGTTGCTGCAAAGCTATAATACAGCCATGTACCCCAGAGGGCCCAACTAATTCAACAAGGCAGGTGGTCACAGAGGCAGTGTCATAAAGGTAGATAGGCTGGGCATGGTGGTGCCATTAGTCCCAGCACTTTTTTTTTTTTTTTTTTTTTTTTTTGTCTTTTTAAGACAGGGTCTCCTTGTAGGCCCAGCTGTTCTGGAACTCACTATGTAGACCAGGCTGGCTCTGAACTCAGAGATCTGCCTGCCTCAGCCTCCCTCGTGCTGGGATTAAAGGCATGCACCACCATGCCCGGCAGTCCCAGCACTCAGGAGGCAGAGGCAGGAGAATCTCTGAGATGAGGCCAAGCTGGTCTACATAGCAAGTTCCAGCCAGCTGTGGCTATGCAGTGGGACCTTGTCTCCAGGACTTTAATCCCAGTGCTTGAGAAGCAGAGGCAGGTAGATCTTTGTGAGTTTGAGGCCAGCCGGGGCTACAGGGAGACCTTGTCTCAAAAAGGCAAAAAACTCCCACAAAACCCCCAAAGGAGAGAGCAGTCCAAGTCTGTCCCTGCCCCCAGCCCCTCCCTTTAACATTTCCTTGCTCTTTTCTATAAAGACCCCTGTGGGGGCTGGTGATGTAGCTTGTAATGTGATCAAAGCCTTGGGTTCAATCCCAGTGCTGAGAAACAACATAAAAACCCCCAAGTCCCATAAATACTCCTTTGGTCATCCAGGGAGCTTAGCTCCCATGTTTTTGCTATTCTTTGGACAGTCTTATTATATAGCAATGGCTAGCTGGTAACTCAAGAGATCCACCTGCCTCTGCCTCTCCAGCACTGGGATTAAAGGTGGGCATCATGGTGCCTGGCTTCTCCCCTTTTTTAATTTAGTCATTTTATGAGCATGAGTGGTTTGCATGCATGTATATTAAGTGCACCCACATTGTGCAAAGCTCATGGAGGCCAGAAGAGAGCACCAGATCCCTTGAACTGGAGTTACAGTGACCATGCCCACACGGGTGCTGGGAATTGAAGCTGAGCCCTCTGAAAGAGCAATCATCTCTCCAACCCTTCTCCCCCCATTCAGACTGTTTTATTCTGTAGTTCTGGCCTGGAACTTACATCAGTTCTCCTACCTCAGTCAAGTGCTAGAACTACAAAGGTGAGCCACCATACCCAGCTCAAAGGTAACTGTTCTTAAAGCTATTATTCCTGGCACGCCTCCTGTAAATATACCCACACTCACAGCCTCCCATCCCCCAACTTCCAATAATGAACAGAAAACACTCTCAGGCACCTGTTTACAGGCCCTCTTCTCTTGGATCTGAGTTTTGTCAAAGCAGGATTGGATGTCAACATCAGATCAGTGCTTAGCAAGCTGAAGTTAAACAGCTGGAACATATGGAGAGTGGAGAGACCAACTCGGTGCCTGCATGGCATGGACAGCAACATTTAATTCACATTATCTTCACTTTTATGCATTAAGAAACAACTTGCTAGGCATGGTGGCACATGCCTTTTTTTCTAGCAGAGGCAAGCAGATCTCAGTGAGATTGAGGCCAACCAGCCTGGTCTACATGTCGAGTTCCAGGCCAACTGGGGGTACAGGGAGACCCCATCTCAAAAAATAAACAATTTGCCCAGATTCATCAAGTCAGGACTACTTCAAGAGGTCAGCAAGAAAGTGTAGCACTAATCCAATGTGACTTCCCTCAGCACGGTCTGTGCCGTACTATGGTATGAGTTACCTGTAGCTGTGAAACTTGAAAATTCACCAATGGGAGTAAGATTTTAACCTTCATTTCATTGTAACAATTTAAATTTAGATAGCTACACATGGAAAGTGGTTTGATTTTGGTATAGGCAGTCTACCCTCTTGCTTACAGGATAAAAAATTTGGAACAAGCTGAGTATTGTGTAACCTGCTTCCTTATCTAAAAAGTGGAATCACTGTTTCTGATGTTACTTTATGCCCAAATGAGAGCATTATGTGAACAGCACTACAGCTCTGCACAGGAAGGACATTTTCAGAAACAGAGCCTGGGCTGGAGTGAAAGCAATCTCTGGATTGGGGCAAGGACCAATCACCAGATTGTCTGGTGGGGAGCTCCAGGCTCAAGTGCCAGTCACACAGCCTCAGGAAACAAAATACCCTTCCTTTCACATATATACACAGAGCACAGACCTCATGCAGCCCCAAAGGGGCAGGAAGAGACTTTAATTAGGGGAAGGGAGGATCCACCAGAATCAGAGACAGCGAGCATGGGAGCAGAGGAGCCAGAGTAGGCAAGGCCCAGCTGGGCGCTCTGGAGGACTCACCTCTCCACCTGCAACACAGGCACTGTACCCAGACTAGGTGAGATGTGGCGCCTCTCAGCTGGGGAGGCGGGGAGGGCACCAGGTGGCCCCTGCAGCCAGAAGATGCCTGGTTCTGGGGCCTTAGCTCCTATGCCTGACTGGCAAACATGGATTCAACCCTTGTTCCCAGCCAGTGCTGAGCTCAAGAAGAGCTCAGAAAGCTAGTAGAGGGTCCCTACCACCTCTACTGGGCCTAAGGAGGATTGCAAATAAGACAGCAAGGAAGAGAAACTGGAGTCTGAAACCTCTCTCTCTCTCCACCTGGGGTGGCACAGGAAAAATAGTCGCCTTCTGGCTCCAGGCCCGCCCAGACCCACAGCGACCAATAAGGTACAATCACTGGGACCGGTCACAGCCACTAGAGGTGGAGGCTGTTTAAAAAAAAAAAAAAAAAAAAAAAAAAAAAAGACAAAAAGGTTACAGTCTCCTACAAGCACAGAGTTTAAGTTTCAAGATGTTAAAAAAAATCTGTCTCGGCCCAGGAGACTGAACATCAGAAGCCAGCCTGACCAGGCACATATGACCTTGGGGCAGGTCCACTGCTGCTTTCTTGCCCAGTTAGCAAGCATACCACACCCCCCTCCCATATCCAATGCCCACCCGACCCAGCTCCCAGCTGCTGCTGCTGCTTCTGCTGCCGCTCTGGGGAGTGACTCCAAGACACCTTCGCAGACACAGAGACACAGGGGAGGCTGAGGGGAAGGCCACGAGATCCAGCCAGATGGTTTAAAACTGTCAAGAGAACCAAGAGAGAGTGAATGTCTACTGTATCCTGATGCACCTGTTCCAGGGAGGGGGGGCTGATTGTTCAGTTCTCTGAGAGGTGGGTTGGCCTATGATACCTTATTAACATTTTTAATTCAGTCAGCCTTCAGCAGTGACTTGAAGCACTGACCTGAAACCTTTAACTAGATAAGGCAGAAAAATTAAGTGGTGAGGGTTTCCTTACAGCTTGTTTGGCAACTGAAGCTGCCTTTAGACATGCAAAGGGGTTGAGGGCTCAGTGAGGCAAGGAGAGAGGGGACCAAGATCTGGTACTCTATCAAAACTCTGGGTGACCAGGCTGGATAGATGGCTCAATGGTTGAGAGCACTGGCTGCTCTTGCAGAGGACCTGGGTTCAATTCCTGGCACCCACATGACAGCTAACAACTGTCCACAACTCCAGTTCCAGGGGATCTGATGGCCTCTTCTGGCTTCTGTAGGCATTGTACATATGTGGTGCACTTCCATTCATGCAGGCAAAATACTCATACACATAAAACAAAAATAATTCAGAGGCTGGAGAGATGGCTTAGAGCTTAAGAGCACTGGCTACTCTTATAGAGAATACAGGTTTAGTTCCCAGCATACATATGGTGGCTAACTACAGTCTCTAACTCCAGTTTCAAGGGATCTGATGCCCTCTTCTGGTCTCCAAGGGCATTGTATGATATGAGTGTACTTACATACACAAAGACAAAAAACTCATAAAATAAAAATAAATAAATCAAAGAAAAAAACTAAAAAAAAAAAAAAGCTGTCTGATCTTTGGTGCTACACAGTAGAAATTCTAGCACTTGGAAAGTGGAGGCATGAGGATCAAAGCTCAGAGTTCAAGGCCATCCTCAGCTATGGCTACATGAAACCCTGCTTCCTGGAAGGGGAGGGAAAGGGAGATGAGGGAAGGAAAGAAAGGCTTGCTTTCTCCCCTCAGGTATCCCCATGGTGCTGAGAACAATCTTGGACACTTTACAACTAGATACTGATCATTAATAACTTATGACTGAACACAACCCAAGACTGTTTGGTCAACATGATGTTCAATACTATAAATCAAAAGATCTAACAGATATCACAAATCTGAATTTCGGCGAAGGGTCATTAGAAAAATCTGAGCTGGCCTCATAATCCCAGCTTCTATGGTGGCCGATGCAGGAGGATTGCACTGAGGCCTCCTTGAGCTACACAGTGGGATGATATCTAAAAATAAAATGTAAAAAGAAAGCAGGGATATATTAGTGTAGAGCTCAGTATTAGTATGCTTGAGTAGAATGGGCAAGGTTCAGTCCTGAGCTCTTCAAAAGAAAAGAAATACTTGGACAATGAGGTCATGATAGGCTGTAGCTGCACGATGGCAACCCTTTCCAGAGGCATGTACTTACCAGATCCCTACGAAGCCCACCTTGCCCACATGCTCTACCTGCCTGACCTGTGCATATGACTTTGTAATCACTGCCAGATACTGTGGGTACTGTCTTGGATGCTTAAATTAGAAAACCTTGATCTACATTCTTGTTCGATTCCCAGCATCCACATGTAGCTAACAACCATCCATAACTCCAGTTCCAGGGGCATCTGATGCCTTCTGACCTCCACAGGCGTACTTACATTCACGAAGGCAATACTCTTGTACATAAAATGAAATAAGCTGGGTGTGGTGGCCCATGAATTTATTCCCAGCACGTGGGAGGCAGAAGCTGGTGAATCTTTGTGAGTTCAAGACCAGCTTGATCTACACAGCGAGTTCCAGACCAGCTGGGTCTAGAGGGAGACCCTGTCTCAAAAAAAAAAAATAAATAAATAAATACTTAAAAAAAAAAAGATTTTAGCCAGGCTTGGTGGCACACCCCTTTAGTCCCAGCACTTGGGAGGAAGCAGGTGGATCTCTGCAAGTTTGAGGCTAGCCTGGTCTACATAGTGTTCTAGGCCAGCTGGGACTACAGGGAGACCCTGTCTCAAAAAGACCAAAAAAAAAAAAAAAAAAACAGGAAAAAGAACATGTCAAACTTATCACACGCTCAAAGTATAGGAGCATTAGACCTCTATTTTGTGTGAGAAATCAATAACATACTTAAAAAAATTACACAGTTGTGAGCAGTCATGTGAGTGCTACAACCTGAGTCCGCTGCAAGAACAGCACGTACTTTTAACCCCTGAGCCATCTCTCCAGTCTAAATGATTTTTATTTATTATTTATTTTGAGATAGGGTTTCACTATGTAGCACTACCATAGCCTGGAAGATATGTGAACCAGGCTGGCCTTGAACTCTGCCTCCTGCATGCTGGGATTAAAAGTATGTACCACCATACCTGAGAACATGCTTTTTAAGCTATAGTAACCCTATAAAAATGTTAAAGTATCATAAATGAATATTGAATAATTAGGCCAAATACTAAATTAGGATAAGCACTATCTTCCCCTTGGTTGAATGAACCTAGAGGCATTTTTGTTCCGTGGTCCTGAAACTATGGTGTTCCCATATCTGGGAAGTTTTTGCACCAGGTACTCTTATGTGATCTCACTTACTGCTTAACCAGTCTGGAAAGTACATATTAATAGCATCCTTACTTCATAGCTAAGGAACCCGAGGCTTAGGTGAGCAGTTCAGTGACATGCCTGAGAAGGCAGAGGAGCCAGGCCAACACTCAGGGGTCTGATTCATGAGCATGCCAAACACACTGTCTTGTGCACAGTACAGTGGCCTTGTACACTGGCCACCCACAGGATAATTAAATCCCAGAGGAAGTGGGTGTAATTTCCTTTTTTAGTAATCTGAGCTCCTTCTGAGTTGGGTCTGGCTTGCACTGGTAGGAATAAACAGTAACTCCACCACTGAGAGATCACAGTCAACTGTGAGTGGAACGTATCAACAAACCAAAGATTGTTTGGAAGGCAGTTGTATATCCTGAGTATCTAAACAAGCACAGCCATGCCATTAGTTCCTCAGTGTAAACAATCCCTCTTCTTCAGCACTGTATTCCTTCCAGTTAGATGGCCACAGACAGTTTCAGACGGATCTGGAGGCCATAAGCCATGAGTAATGGGATGTTAAAGTAACCATGTAAACATGTAATGTTGAAGGAACCATAATATTAAGCCTGACAAACAGACACCGAACAAAAATATTTGTCCGTTTGATAAGTGGAATTACACAATGATGAACTGTTTTGTGTTCTCAGAATTCCCATGTCTACTTCATTTGCCTCATTTAAACAATTTCTTGAAGTTATTTTTATGTGTGTGTTTTTTGGGGTTTTTTTGTTTTTTGTTTTTTTCATCCTTTTGAGACAGGGTCTCCCTATAGCCCTGGCTGGCCTGGAACTCACTATGTAGAGGCCAGGTTGGTCTTGAACTCACTCCCAGGTAGACAGATCCACCTACCTCTGTCTCCCAAGTGCCAGGATTAAAGGGGTGCCTCACCTTACCCAGCATGTTTGAGTGTTTTGCCTGCATATATGTGTAAATATACCACATACATGTAATGTCCAAAAGAGGGCATCAAATTCTCTGGAACTAGAGTTGCAGATGGCTGGCTATTAGCCACCATGTGAGTGCTGGGCACTGAACCTGGGTCCTCTGGAAGAGCAGCCAGTGTTCTTCCACCAAGTCATCTCTCCAGTCCCCATGACTATGTAGACATTTTAAGATGCAGAATCAATGTCTACATTCCCATAAGAGATAAGAGGATAAGAGGCATCCTAGATGCCCGGAAAAGGAAAACGTTCTACAGTTCTCAGAAACAGCCTGCAGCCTTATGGTTTCAAAGCACCTTATGCTGCAAAGGGGACTGACGAAATGGGACCATCCTGTCAGTGCCACTTTCCCAGCAGAACCCATGGCTCCCTCCACCTCTGGCAGAGCTGGCAGAGAGCAGGGAAGCCCTACTTACATTCTTGAGGAATTCTTCTGCCACAATGCGGGCTCGGGCATTGACTGACAGCTTCATCTCACTGATCTCCTTGTCAATCTCCTCCATGAAGTGGATCACAAAGTCCACCAACTTGTGTTTGTACATCTGCTCTGTGTGGAAGTTAGTGATCAGAAAGCTGATGTCATACCCCTAGGGAAGGAAGAAAGAAGGGAGGAGGGAGAGAAGAAACAAGACAAAATTAGCACCCCAGGGATGCTTAGCTGCAGTGTCTTCTCCCCAATCACACACAGGTATCTAGGTAGCTATGATCTTTTCCCAAGGTACACATCCTTCATTCAGCAGTCCACCTGCTTAGGAGGGCTTTTTTGAGCCCTCCTCATGGTGTATGTGAACATGTGTTTGTATGTGCATTCATGTGCCTGTGCTTGTTGGACCCAAGCAACTGAACCCAGTTCAGAATTTTGCATATGTCAGGTATCTCAAGAAGAGTGTGGCACAACAGGCAAGGGACTTCATCTCTTGTTTCAAAGAATTCAATACTGAACAGCCCAGGAGGACTGACATGCAAGAGGGATGGGACTAGGGTCTTTCACTAGGGGAGGGTATTTGAGGAAAATAATTTCATTTACTCTGGGTAGCCCCAGAGGTTACATCTAGGACCAGGAGAGAGAATTTGATTCAGGATGAGGAAGACTTTGGCCAGCATATCTGATATGTCAGATGTGGTCTGTGCTGCTCTCCATGGTGGCTGCTGATCAGTCACTGTGGATATTTTAGGTTGATTTGGCAGGGAGCCTATGGAGAGGATTCACGTGCATTCAAGTACAAAGTCAGGCAACAAGAGATTCAATGTTTTCAGTTGGCAGAGCTTAGGAAGGTATTTCTGTTTTTAATTTTTTTTTTTCTTTTGGTCTTTTTGAGACAGGGTCTCCCTGTAGCCCCAGCTGTCCTGGAACTATGTAGACCAGGCTGGCTGTGAACTCACAGAGATCCTCCTGCCTCTGCCTCCAGAGTGCTGGGATTAAAGGCATGTACCACCACGCCCAGCTGTTTTTAATTTTTAAATTTGTTTTATGTGTATAAGTATTTTGTCTACATGTATACCACATATATGCAATGCCTGACAAGGCCATAAGATGGTGTCAGATCCCCTGGAACTGGAGTTAAGGACAGTTTTTGGCCACATGTGGGTGCTGGGAACCAAATCCAGGTCTTCTGCAGGAGCAGCCAGTACTCAGAACTATTGAGCCTTCTCTCTAGCCCTCTTGTTTTGTTTTTGAGATTAGGTCTCAAATGCAGCCTAGGCTGGCCCCCAAAGCCATGATTCTCTTGCCTTAGCCTCCCCAATACTGGAATCCCAGGCCTGTGCTACTATAAACAGCTCTAAGATAAGCAACCCGCAGACCCAAATCTTATGTGCCTCATCTCCCTCACTACCATAGAAGCTGAGATCAAAGTACCAACTAGGCAGTAATGCCCTCTAGTCAGAGAAACAGCAATCATAGTTCAAGAAACACCTCCATGCTGGGCTTGGTAGCACATGGCTTTAATCCCAGCACTCAGGAGGCAGAAGCAGGCAGATCTCTGTGAAATCGTCTACATAGCCAGCTCCAGGCCAGCTGGGGCTATAAGAAGATTCTGTCTCCAAACAACAAAAACAACCCAAGGACTGAGGATGTAGCCCAGTGGTACAACACAGACCTAACATATGCAAAACCTTGGGTTCCATCCCTAATACCAAAAAACCCCAAAATAACCCCAGGCCACCCAGTGACAGAATCACGGCAATTATAAATATCCAATGCACAGGCCTTACCTCCACTGGTTTCCTTCGAAGGATAAAGAAATTCTCTGCTCGCATCATCATGAAGCGCATAAATTTATGGCATAAAATCTTCTCGATCTCATCAGCCTGGTGGAAGCAAAAATTAAAGACAGCTCTGGAAGCTGACACTCTAAGCTACCCTGGAGCCTGCCTTTCTGGTCCCAATATTTCCCCAGGCTCACTGGAGGTAGAGGGCTTTGGTATCAGGAGCCCAGACGGCTGTATTTTGACTGGACCTGAACTGGCCGCATGGCCCTGCCTACTTTTTCCTTGTCATCTAATCCAGAGCAAGGCCTTTGAGACAGGGTTGCTGTTATTTTATTCTACTGACCTGATCTATGTTTTCTGTTTGTTTTTGAAATAGACTTACCAAGTAGCCTAGACTGGCCTTGAGTTTTCCATCCCAGTTCCAGGATTATGGACACGTGTTCCTGCCTTCACTGATTTGCTCTGGCCAACCATCTCACAAAGCAGGCTCTGAATCCAACACACTAACCTTTTAGATGGGGATCCATGGCACTTTTAAAGTTTTTAATTATATGTATGGGTGTGTGTGTGTGTGGATATGGGTACATGAATGCAGGTGCCCAGTGGCTAGAGACATCAGATTCCCCTTGGAGCTGGAGTTACAGGCAGTTATGAGCTGCCTGACATGGATGCTAGGAACCAAGCTCAGGCTTTCTGAAAGAGCTCCTAACACTGGCCTCCTTCATGGTGACTCACCTGTTTCACAGCAATGCTGACCCGCACAGAATTGATGGAGCCCTCAATTAGCACCTTTTCCTTCTCATTCCTGCTGATGGTAACAGGTTGCAACAGGAGCTCTTTGCTACTCCTAAAAACACAAAAATTAGAAGCTGCTTACAGAGGAACTAAACAGCCACAGCAACCTACAGCAGGTCCTGGAATCACTACTCAAGAGAGTTCAAGGAATTTAACACTCATAAGCATGGTGCTCAGAGGTCAGGAAACATGCTTTCCAGTAGGAACAGCATAGGGCCCGAAAAGGGCATGAAATGCAGCCTTCTGCTACCTTCTTTAGGCAAGTTACCCTGTTGGAATCTTCATCTCCTTTTTTGAAATGACTGAGTCATAATTCAAGGGTGAGAGCTGAGAGATCAAAAAAGGTCAGGTGAGCCCAGTGTGGCGGCACACACCTTAATCCCAGCACACAGGAGGCAGAGGCAGGCAGATATCTGTTGTGAGGCTAGCCTAGTTTACATAGCAAGTTCTAAGCTAGCTGGGACTACAGGGAGACGCTTTCTCAAAAAACAACAAAACAGTAGCAAGCAGGGCACCCTAAAATTGAACAAACTGATCTCCTTTTTCGTTCTTTATTCAGTGCTGGAGGGTGAAGTCAGGGCCCTGGGCCACACTAGGCAAGTACTCTACACTGAGCCACATACCCTTAGCTCTGGTCTCTTTTAAACACCAATCTGGAAGAATTCCATTATTGATCAGTGAGGACTTTGTCAGCTCAGGTCTTGAGTTGACACCAACTCTCTAGCTATCTATAAAGGTTATTTGATACCTGTGAGCTGTTACCATTTAAAAATACCTATTAAAAACCACATAGAACACAACATAGTTCATCCTAACATTAGTTTTGACTGATTTCAAGTTATATCAATCACGCAGTTGTAGAGTATGTGCCTAGCATGCCCAGGGGTCTGGGATCAATCCCTAACAAAAACATCTGCGTCATCTAATCCATGTGATAACATGGATTAAATCAATTATAAGCCCCCCTGATCCCCTTTTATTCTTCTTTTGTTTCTTGAGAGACTGGCCTTGAACTTGTGGTCCTTCTGCTGCTGCAGCCTCCCACATGCTGGGATTAACAAGCATATACCATTTTCTGGCAGGGTTGAATTTCAATGGGGAGACAGGTGTGGTGGCACACACCTTTGATCCCAGCACTTGGGAGGCAGAGACAGGCAGATCTCTGTGAGATCAAGACCAGCCTGATCTGGGACTGGAGAGATGGCTCAGCGATTAAGAACACTGACTGTTCTTGCAGAAGATCTGGGTTCGAATCCCAGCACCCACATGGCAGCTAACAACTGTCTGTAACTCCAGTTCCAGGGGTTCCAACAGTCTCTTCTGTTCTCGGTGGGCACTGCATGACACTGGTGTACTTACCTGTATGTAGGCAATACACACATACACATTAAATAAATAAATAAATAAATAAATAAATAAAGCTGAGCGTGGTGGCACACACCTGTAGTCCCAGCACTTGGGAGGCAAAGGCAAGAGGATATCTGTGAGTTCAAGGCCAGCCTGGTCTACATAGTACATTCCAGGACAGCTGGGGCTACAGGGAGACCCTGCTTCAAAAAGAAAAAAAAAAAAAAAGATAATAATAATAATAATAAGGGGCTGGAGAGATGGCTTAGCAGTTAGGAACACTAGCTGTTCTTGTAGAGGACCTGGGTTTGAATCCCAGCACCCACACGGCAGCTAACAGTTGTCCATGGCCTCAGTTCCAGGGGATCCAATGGCCTCTTCTGTCCTCCGCGGTCATTGCACGGGATGCGTGCACTTACCCCTTTAGTCCCAGCACTTGGAGGGCAGAGGCAGGCGGATCTCTGAGAGTTCAAGACCAGCCTGGCCTACATACTGAGTTCTAGGTCAACTGGGGCTACAGGGAGAACATCTCAAAAGACCAAAGGAAAAAAATTTCAATGGGGAACAATAAATTTATTTTAGGAAATGATCATCAGTTAAAGGAAAATCATTCAAAATATGGAATAGTAGGTGGTAAGACGGTCTAGGCTGATAGGCAGTAATAATAATGATAAAAAATAAAATTTTGATCCTTAAATTAGAAAAGTAGAGGTGACATTGCAGGGAATTGCCAGTGAGTTGAATAATGCCACAGGAGATATAAGAACAGCCCTGTTCTAAGAAGTCACACCTTGTGTTAGGAATCTTGGCTCTAGTGAAGGTTTCCCATGGGTTTTGCCCTGCCAACCCACTGACCCTATTTTCTTAATTCCAAATTGGGAACCATTCATCTGGCAACAAGATGAAAGTTCGTAGTGAGCTTTAAACAGGGGTCACCCCTGTGTGTTGAACCCCTTAGCCCCACTCTAGCCTTTTCCCTCCCTACCTGACTTCCACCTCTGGCTTGTTGTGTCGTTCGACAACCTGGGAAGAGAAGTTCTCCAGGCAGAGGGCAGCCTGCAGCGTGGCCCGCACGGCACTGAGGTAAGGGCGGAGAGTGGCAGTCTGTAGGAATAAACCCAAGCAATGGGAAAGATCAGAATATGCCCCACAAAAGTTACTCCCTTATGTAGCGCCTACAAAATATAGGCAGTACTGAGGACTTTCAGCTCTTAGACATGACAGAACAGAAAGATTCAGCTTCCAGATATATTCAAGTCTCAATCTTGAGCAGCAGTTCTCAACAACACACAACTCTGCCCATCGGGGACATTTAGCAATGTGGAGACATCCATTTTTAATTGTGATGATTGGGGGAGAGGAGGACTATGGACACTAAGTGGACAGAGGCCAGTCATGCTGCTCAACATCCTGAGATACACAACAGAAAATTACCTAGTCCTAACTATGACCAGTGTTGAGGGTAGGTAAACACTAGACACACTAATGAATGTCCTCCATCTATACACCAAATTATACAGATTCAGGCACTGGACTAGCTGGGAATTCAAAGAAAGATCATCTCTACCCTTAAATAGCTCAACTAAGTGAGGAATTAAGGTCTAATGGAGAATGAAGTATAAAATAACCGGAAATATAAATAGTCTGTACTGGCAAAAGAAACTTGCTTTGACAAGATGCAGGATCAGAATTTTACAATGACAAAAAGAACAAGGCATTTCTAGTAGAGGGAACAGTCTACTACACTGGTCAGTTACAGCTGGGTCAGGTTCTGTCTCACCTCAGGGGTTTTGACATGGTGAACCATCATCTGCATGATTTCCCCCTCTCTTTGCTTAGGTCAGTCCCTTGGAACTCAACTTATTAGAGAAGGCCTCTTCCTTCCTCAAAGAGGCCTTTACTTCCTTCTCAATGCATTTGTTGTAAATTATGGTATGCACTTTGCATATAATTTACAATGGAAAACTCATCACAATGAAAGTGAATTCTTCACTAGACTGTAATTCCCGTGGTCAACAGATATCAAATTTATTCAGTTATGTAGATTGCAACTTGCTTAATACCTCCTATATATAATCTTACTAATTTCCTGCAGAATAACTGAACAAATGAAATTAAGTCAAGCAGGATTAGACTTTACACAAAGGGGCATTAAGAGTTCCCAAAGTAGGTGGAGAAATGGCTCAGTGGTTAAGAGCACTGGTTGTTCTTGCAGAGGACCTGGGTTTGATTTCCAGCATCCACATGGTGGCTAACAAACATCCATAACTCCAGTTCTAGGAGAATCTAATGCCCTCTTCTGATATCCACCCACACTACATGACACAGGTGCACTTACACGCAGGCAATACACCCATACACATAATATGAAAATATTTTTAAAAAGAACTCCCAAAGTATTAACAAATACAAGATTTCTGTACATGAGAAGCATTCTAAATGGCTGGGATAAGCTCACAGAGTACCTAGAATGCCAGTCCAGTGAATTAGCTTTTCTTTTAATGTGGCAGGCAACTACTGGGGCTTTCTGAGGAGGAAGTTACATGAGTGCAGCTGCACAGAGGCTCTCTGGAGAATGGATTGGAGAGGGAAGTGAGACACACAGAGAAGGTTGTACAGGAGAGCTGCTGAAAGACTAAGATGGGGGGGGGGCACAGCATCACAGGGGCTGGAATGACACCAGGGACAGAGGATAAAGAAAAACACAACTAAGTCTCACCAGTGGACCACTATCGGAGCTCAGCAGCAGGACACTTCCTTGGCATGTGTGAGGCCTTGGGTTCAATACCCAGCCCACAAAAATAAGTCTATATACTAGAGAATTTTATATGACAACCAAAGGCAAAAATTAGTGATTGAGGCTGGGTGAGGTGGCGCACACCTTTAATCCCAGCACTCAAAAGGCAGAGGCAGGCGGATCTCTGTGAGTTCAAGGCCAGCCTGATCTATATAGTGAGTTCCAGGACAGCTGGAGCTACAGAGACCCTGTCTCAAAAAGACCAAAAAAAAAAAAAAAAATCAGTGATTGTGGGTGGAGAGGACCATCTGAGGAGTAATGGAAATGTTCTCTACTGTGTAGTGGATACCTGTTTTGTCAATATTCATAGAAAGCAATCTAAAGGTGAATTTTAGTGACTAGTCCTGTGATATCTGCCCCTTAGCAAATAGCTGCATGAATCACAATAAACTTGAACTTTGAAAACTCAATCAAAAGGCAAACCACAGGCTTCTAGCTGAACTATGAAAACAGGACATGAAACACACAAGAAAGCAAGTTTAGAAATGCAGGTGACTTTTGAACAAGAGGGTCTACTTTTAAGATGTTTTCACCACAGATGGATCATTAGATTGAACTACGAAAGAAGTTGCCAGAAGGCAGATAGCCATCAAAGCCAGCAGCAGATAGGTTATCACCTGGGAAAGCACTGGGCAGAGGAAGCTGGTGAGCCACAGTCACAACTCCACAGAAGGCCCACTTATACCAGATCCCTGCACTCCGAGGAAGGGAAGGACCAGCAATATCAGAATTCACACAAAGTAAGGTCAACACAGGACAGCGCAGACCAGGGAGGAGTCTGAATGACTGCAGCACACGAGATCTTTCATTAGGCTTTAGAAGCAAGGCTGGTGGGATCGACATGGGCGTAAAGAAAAGTGGACAACTGTCTCCGGACACAGTGGGGTCAAGAAGGCAGGCGAGGACAAGGAAGGAGGTGTATTTAGAGGCTACGAGGCCTCTGCCTCCAACGCTCAACCCCACTAGAAGCCCGGGTTCCTCCCTCCTCCGAGCTTCGGGGACATTCTTGCCTGCCTGGGAAACCCGCCCTGAACCCTCAAGGCCTGCTCCTTCCCAGGCAGTCCCCCAACTCGTCCCTTCGTCCTCGCCCCCCGCCCCGCTCTCTCCCACCCGTCCTCATCGCGCCCTCTCATCCACAGCATTCCCCGGCTGCCCGCCTTCGTAGCAAGACCCACAGCCCTCAGCCAAGCATACGGGACCCCGGCCCCGGCCCTCTCACCATCGCGGGCGCTGGCTGGGCCGGAAAGCGGAAGTGCGGAAGTGACCAGTCCCGGGACCCTGCCCTTTCGCAAGAGGCGCAGCCGCAGACTCCGTCCGCACTTCCGGGCAGTACCATCTCCGCTGAGGATGGGGGCGGGCGAGCCAAAGAACGTTTGGATCCCCGCGACGCTCCCACGCTGGGACTGCTTGGACACCGTTACAGTCCCAGAGGGACACGTCGACACTCGGAACTCTCAGGCCTATGCACCTCTCGCCAGCGCCTTTGGCTCCGGTCGCCTTGGCGTCAACTTCCCCCCAGTTCGGGAAATAGTACAGCCCGACCTCAGGTTGGACACCAAATTAGGACAAGCGGAGCCCGAGGAGCCCGACGCCTCTTCCGGTGTTGCTCCTGCAGCTTTTCTCCCGGTCCCTCCTGCCTGCAGCCCTGGGGCTTGGCGGGGCTGCCAGCGCTGAGATCTCGGCTACGGAGCCCCGCCCCAGCTCCGGGCTGCTTCCTAGGAGTCGCCCCAGGCGTTGAGGACCTGTGATACCCTTCCCCTCAGGCCACCGTGGGCTGGCCCACTCCCCACCCCCGCGTCTTCTGCAGGGGCCCGCCCATAGCCTGTTCCGGGGCGGTTGCTCCGAACGACCAGAACTCCCCGCCCCCTTCTGCGGTCGGGGCGGGGGGGTGGTCGTAGGAGGCAGTGGAGAGAAGGCAAAGGCTGGGGTTGCGTTGAAGGCTCTCTAGAGGACCCGGACCCTGGAGGCGGGACGTTGGGGCGATCCACGGGTGGAGCCAGCCATTAAGCAGTCCCACTTCTGTGCCAGGCACTGAACTGGGCTCTTGACGAGCATCACCTTTTAATCACCTCAGAACATCCCAGGGAGGTAGGTACTCTTGTTAATCCCCATTTAGCAGATTCATACATTTTATGGGGAAACAGACCGAGGCATCATTTATCCTGGAAAAACGGAGACTTGGGTTTCATAACATGTTCGGTGAGGCACATGAGAAAAATGGACTGGAACTTAATTCTGGTTGATTAGCCCGCGTTCCAAACTAGCTAGGGACGTCGAGAAGGGGAAAAGTGGAATGGGGTGAAACAAAGGAGAGGCTGGGAGAAACTCTGAGGCTTAGCCAAGCTAGGAAAAGAGAGGGGAAGACAGGGTACAGTGGTATATCTTGGTGGTTAGGGCTACAGATGCAAGACAACTTGGGTTCAAATTACAGCCTGGAGGCCAGGCCTGCGGTGCAGGTTTGTAAACTCTGGAGGCTGAAACAGGTGGATTGTAGTAAGTTCAAGGCCTGCCTGACAACAGTGAGACTGTGTCTCAAAATGAAAATTCATAAAAAGGGGCTGGAATGTAGCTCAGTTGGTAAGGAGCTTGCCTAGCATACACAGGGTCCTGGGTTTGATCCCCAGTATTGCCTGAACCAAACGTTGGGGTGCACACCTCTAATTCCAGCACTTGGGAGACAGAACAGTCAGTAGTTCAAGGTCATCTTTGACTACATAGTGAGTTTGAGACCAACCTAGACTGTATGAGAGCCTGTCAAAAAAAACCCTAAATAAATTATTAATTAAAAAAAAAAAAAAGGATTGGCGAGCTGGGCGTGGTTATGCACACCATTAATCCCACCACTTGGGAGCAGAGGTGGATCTCTGGTGAGTTTGAGGCTATCCTTATCTACATAGTGAGTTCCAGGCCAACCAAAAAGATTGGATATATAGCATGTGAGAGGCCTAGGTTCAGTACTACCAAAACAAAAGAACAACAATATTTCACTCATCCTAGGCATGTGTGGCTGCCTTTTCAGTCTGTTTCCTTTTATGTAAAAGAGCTCCTGCTTAGCCTGGCGTGGTGAAGCATGCCTTTAGTCCTAGTACTCAGGAGACAGAGGCAGGCAGATGTCTGAGTTCAAGGCCATCCTGGTCTATATAGAGAATTCCAAGCCAGCTGGGACTACAGGGAGTCCCTGTCTCAAAAAATAAAAGGTTAGGTGCAGAATTCAGTGAAATAAGTTCTGTCCCTAATTTGGTGCCCAGTCAAGGCTCTGTGAGTAGGAGCTTTGTCCCCAGCCTTATCTGTAAGGATCCTGAAGCCCAGTTTCCTTGTTAAGGCTATCTCCCAGGCTGTCTCCCATGTGAGTCTGTCTCCCAGCAATGGCCTTCTCTTCTCCAGCTCCACAGGGTCCCATTCCCTGGGCCATGAGTGAGCTGAAGGACTGCCCATTACAGTTTCATGACTTCAAGTCTGTGGACCACCTGAAGGTCTGTCCCCGCTACACAGCAGTGCTGGCCCGCTCAGAGGACGATGGCATTGGAATTGAGGAACTGGACACCCTGCAGCTGGAACTTGAGACCCTGCTTTCCTCTGCAAGCCGGCGACTGCGTGTGCTTGAGGCTGAAACCCAGGTGATACCCCAAGATGAGGCATCACTAGAGATAGACTGAGTCAGATTATTGGATGGGTCATTAGGTTAGCTTGATCTGCTGAGGCCAAGGGATGGATGGGAAGAGAGACCTGAATAGGAATCCTGTAACAGCATGCTTGGGTTTCAGTGCAGGAACAAAGGCTTGGGGACACAGTTAGGAGGAGATACCATTCCAACTGGGTCTCAGAGGATGGACACTATTTACTGTGGTCCCTGAAACCTTGGAAGAGTTTTCTGAAGAAGACTATAGTGCAGCCAATTGTTCTGTGCAGAGGTGGTTCCCAGGCAGGGTGATGTTTGAGATGAAGTTTAGCTGAGAGGCAACTTGCTTTCACCAAAAATCACCATCAGCACTTACATGCATTGGGGCATGGTCTTTTTTTTTTTTTTTTTATATAAACCTTTTTGCTGGACAGTCTGTGATAAACGTGGGTGACAAAGGTGAATGAGAATGTATGCAAATAACAGAACTAGATGAACAAAGTCATGTAAGAAGGCATAGAAAAAGATCTTTGAAGGATGAGTAGGAGTCTATGAAATAGAAAGCTGGAAAACCTTGGATTTTTCGATCCTAATTTATTCATAGGGGAAAGAATTGCTCTGTCTCTTAACTCCTTCTCAGTGACAGTCTCTGTAAATTTCAGATCCTCACTGACTGGCAAGATAAGAAAGGTGATCGACGATTCCTGAAGCTGGGTCGAGACCATGAGCTTGGTGCTCCCCCGAAACATGGGAAGCCCAAGAAGCAGAAACTGGAAGGGAAGGCAGGACATGGGCCAGGTCCTGGTCCAGGAAGACCCAAGTCCAAAAACCTTCAGCCCAAGATCCAAGAATATGAATTCACTGATGACCCAATCGACGTGCCACGGATCCCCAAGAATGATGCCCCCAACAGGTTCTGGGCTTGAGTACATAGAAAGGAGCTAGAAGGGATTCCAGAAGTGGAGTCTTCGGAGGGGGGCAAGCCTAAGACACAAGGTGCTTACTCAGAGTCTGCTTCTCTTTGCAGGTTCTGGGCCTCTGTGGAGCCCTATTGTGCTGACATCACCAGTGAGGAGGTACGAACACTTGAGGAGCTCTTGAAGCCCCCTGAAGATGAGGCTGAACATTACAAGGTAGAAACCCTGAGCCTCATAGCTGTGGGAGACTAGAAGACTCATAGGTGCCTCCAAATCCTAGGTAGTAAAGCCTGTATTACCTCTTGTTACACCCTCAGCCCAAAGGTGATGTCTCAGGTGCCTGTCAGTAAAGTCTGCCCTACCCCCCCCATTCCCTTGCTTTTTATCCAAAGTGCCTCTGAATGTTCTCCCTGCTTTTAGGCTCCAGAGGAAGCTCTTTCTCTTTATTTAATATATAAAAGTTAATTTTGGGCTGGAGCGATGGCTCAGTGGTTAAGAAACCTTCTGTAGCTCCCAGTGCCAGGGGATCTAATGCCCTCTTCTGATCTCCACAGACATTGCATGACTCGGGTATACTTACACACATGCAGGCAATACATTCATACACATAAAAAAATCAAAATAATAAGGGGCTGGAGAGGTGGCTCAGCAGTTAAGAGCACTGGCTATTCTTGTAGAAGACCTGAGTTCGAATCCCAGCACTCACATGGTAGTTAACAACCATCCTTAATTCCCGTTCCAGGGGATCTGACACCATCTTCTGACCTCTACAGACATTGTACAACATGAGTACACTTACATACATGCAGGAAATACACTCATGCACATAAAATTAAAATAATAAAAAATTTAAATAATGAAATATTTAAAATAAGTTATTTTTCTGC